GGGGAGAACTGAGTAGGTATCTGTCTGGGTGCTCCATGTGGGTCTTTCAAGACCAGATCATTCATTAACTCTAACCCCCAGGGTGTACTAGTTACATGTAAAATCATATTAAAATCAGAGGATTGTTAGGGCATTCTTGCTATAAGTTGTCACATGTACATTTAACAACCTTCCTGAAGCCTCTAAATTCCCCATGACTGCAAAAAAAACCAAGGGCACATTCTTATATTCTTTCAGGATTCCAGGGCCACCTAGCCTACAGTGAACAGAGGCTAGGCTACACCTTCCCCAATCCCACCAAATCTTTCCAATCCTGATGGATTTTGCAGGATCTGGGAAGGCCGGGGTTGAAGGATTCTGCAGAATGCAGCTCTGGATCACTCATTGTCCCAGGCAGCATCCTGGCATTCGGGGGGGGGGGCAATTGAGCCCCCTCCTTCCTAAACATGTTACCATTGTTTTACTAATTGAAATGCCAATATTTTATTAAAATAGAATACTGCAGTACCTTCCTTACCAATGAAAAAAGTGTTTCGGGGGAAAACACACTTTGAACCCCCACCCATGGGAAGGCTTGCAAAAGTTAATCTGCATGATTGACTCGAGCTATGGAGTCTTAGCATGAATGCCGATGAAGATGATACATGTAATAACAATGGAGATGTGGATGTACGACGGCCTTGTGGCTATTCAGCTTTGCCTGTCCGTCAATCCATCACTTGATGAATGTATCTATCCAAAATTAAACTCACCAAATTGTCCAGAACTGCACATGTTTGATCTAACAAAAGTAACAGAGCCGGTGTGAAATAAATTTCATCCTCAACATCAAAATGTGATACGTGAAAAGTTGTGAAAAAAGCTGCACATTTTAACAGCAATAATTCTTTCTTTTAGAACAAAGTACATGTATCATTACAAAGAGGACTTCGGAGAAATGAAATACGTGAAAAAGAAATCAGTTTAACGATTTTGAATGAGTTGAACGTTTCTCAATACACTCTCAACAAGATTACTTACTCTATGGGTTTATTTACCCAAGATCTTGCACTGTAAACTGAACATCAACCCCGTATTGACGAAACAGACATGACCAACACACTTCACAGTTTACTTTCTGGGTAAAATATTAGGAAAGGGTTGGGGAGGTTTATTTCTCAAAATAAACAACATTCCCATCCTATAATCATAAATGTCCCTGGCCTACGGTTTCAACTTTAGAGCAACACTGCACCTTTAAATTCAGCATTAAGCTCAGCAGTGATCCACATGTAATTGGTTGCCTTGGATACATGACCTTGCTGCCCTGAAAGAGGGTCAAAGTTTAAATCAACCATGGTAAAAAAAAAAAAAAGTGCCCCAGTTAGATTGGTAATATGAGTTGAAACACAGATTCAACACAATAACTGCATGAACACATAAGAGCATAGTATGTGAGCATGAACAAATGCTGGTCATATTTGTTGATCTGTCCTGAGGGCTCATGGCCCCCCAAAAACCACCAGGATGCTCCCCTGTTTGGAGAACTCTAAAGGCAAGGCTTCTTAGTGTAGGTTCTCAATGGTTCTGCAACCTGCCAAGTAGGTTCTTTTTAAGGTAACCCCCAAGGCTCCTTCTGCACAAAATGTCCTCCATGTGTAACTTCAATGGCTGCACTGCCTACAAAGTGGCCACTGAACTACGAAGGTACACTGTCGGCCTGGCTGGATTTTGTAGTTTGTGTCAGACTAAAAGCATTAATGGATAGAGTGCATTTGTGTTGAATGGATACTATGAGAAGGTGTGCTCTATGGGTGCCAGGTACTTTTGTATACATGATTCTACTCTGAAGGAGCGACTTGGCAGCCGCTGTACACGGTATGGTGAATGTGATTCTCAGCCCCAGGCCTGGGGCCCATATAGTTTTCACTGCTAATTCAACTACACCAACTGATTTCTTTTACATTTAAAGTACATGTACTTTACAACGTGACTCTCAGATCAGCAGAGATGTCAGGGGGTTTCCTGGAAACACACGTCTGGAAATACATACTTTGGTAAATTGCCTTCAGTTTCAACCTCATGCACTTCAGCAGTTTAGCAAAATGTAATTTGCAAAAATCTTGTATTTCCGGACCGAGTAAATTAAGAACACTTACACTCAACATCAAACACTAGTTACATCAACATCTTACAAAGCAAAGGAAATACACAAAAAATGAACTATGAATACATCATAGTTAAACTATGCATAGCTAAAGTTAAACTTTTGCACCTTACAAGATGTACGTGTAATTAAGGTACAGGTAATCAGGTAATGAGGCAAGTTAGGCAAAAATATGTTAAATAGCTCCGTGACAAAACTGAATTTCACTCAACAGCAGGAAAGAACGTTGCATCCCGCCTCCAATTTTTAATCAGTTATGATTTTGTTACACCCCAACTACAGCATCAGTCCCAACTATAGTTGGGCCCGTCCTAACTATAGTGCTATAGTTGGGCCGGCCCAACTACAGCACAGAGGCCCAGTGTGCATGCGTCCAGTACGTAGGCCCCTCCAGGATGTGTCCAGCATGTGCCAAAGTCATATTGTTCACAATGTCATGTCATAGATGAAGTGCAATATTTTAGATGAACTGTGTCAAGTGTGAGATGCATAAACTTGGATAAGGTTGAGAAATTTTCTACAGAAAGTGGTCAACAATAGTGGGGCCAGCCCAACTGCAGCACTATAGTTGGGACAGATGCTATAGTTGGGGCGTAACAATTTCAATGAAGCTCAGTCGCTGGTAAGTTGTTGAAATGACATAATGTGGAGCTGGAAAGTACTTCAGATTTCTTAGAAAATACTTCAAAATGCGCTAAGTCTCCAAAGACTTTTGGACACAATCATGGAAGTGGAGTCAGGATGCTGCAGTCTTTCCATCATAACAACCGATGTTGGTGTTGATAATATCCCATCACATTTACGCTATTTTTTGTTAACTTGACGGACTCAGGTCTGACAAACCATGGACAAACGTAAAAACCACTTTGCAGAGAGGTGACTGCATTCACCTCCACTTACCATCTTTCTCAGCCCTTCCTCGCCGACTTCAATCAAAGCAGTCATTTTTTGCTTTTTGGGTGTAGGAAATGCAACTTTATAACATTCCAGTGCGAATGATGCTCTGTCATCTGAAGCTTCCTTTGGGGGATTTTAGTCAATAAACTGCACTCAAATATCGCTCGTATCGATAGCCTGGCCAAATAACACACCTCAGTACTACCGTACTTAGGTCCGGTCACGCACCCTGTACTGCACAATATGTGTGTATGCACATTGGACCACGTGTTGACATTTTTGGAACCATTCTTATGCAAATATTGGTCTGTACCAATTACAAGTTGGGGTAAGACATATCTGTAACTCGATCAATTTCCGCTTCATAAACTCTGAATCCGAGCAAAAGCCACATTTCAATAAATCATTCTACAACTTTATTATTGTAAGCTTGATTAAACTATATTTAATTTGATGGGGGATTGTGACATTGTTTCATTAGCCATATAGGAAAACCAAACTTAATAATGGAATAGCTAAAAGAGGCGTGGCTTAAAAACAAAAAGTGTCAATGGTTCAACGACCGTGACAGTTCAGAGCTCGGTCGGCGGCAGGTTTTAATTCGTGGAAGTCTTCGAAATAGTCCCAAATAAATTCAAGAATCCGTATATGACATATTATCGTTGTCACGCAACCCAGGAACACAGAAATTGGTGAACAAACTAAGAACCAAAGACAAGGAGAACACGATTTTTCTCAGAAAGAAAAGTGACCATAATGAAATCATATTGCATCCTGGTATTGTTCCGCAAATCATCCGTGCCGATTTCTATGAACCGTCGGATCGCCACATCCTTTTTTGAAGCCCAGTCCTTCAAAATCATAGTGTTCATAGTCGGCTATTCAAAAGGTTGAGTAGAGGGGGCACGCACGAATTCACAATCGACCGATTGTGTGTTTGTCCTTGGTTGCCTAGGTGAAAGAATATAGGGTTAAATGATCAGGGTAGCAGACGGAGTCAAGGACAGACGATAAAAATCATTCATATGTCACATTCAAACTGTATATCGACGAAACTCGGTGCGGTACGAGAGATTAAAATTTCAGCTGGGAAAAATTGAACCCCAAAGCCAAAGGCGTCTCTATCTGGTGGGAATTGATCCTGGAAGAAATTCTACACCCACGGTGCAACTATAGAATTTGGCAGCCCTCTTAAATGTTCAGTGTCACCATTGCTGCATCGACAGGGTACGTGACGGTGTGGCACAATGATTTCAGCCAGTGCTGTGTCATCTTAATTTGAACGACGCGTGACATTACCATAACTTTTAAATTCCTGTCTCTTCTACCTCATGCAATAGTTTTCCTACTCAAGAGAGCACAAGTCTGAAGTTCAGTGAGTACAGGCAGCTTGAACTGAGGCTCATCCGAATATGTTGTCGAGAGTTAGTTCTAAATCTTTACCCATTGAAAACACACAAGGATGCACTGACAAAAGAACTGCAGCTCTGGAATCCTGATTCGGATACAGTCTCAGTCTAAGTTGCTGGTTTCACTGAAAAAAACTTAATAAATGCAGAAATCTCGACTGGCATATGCATTATTAGCAGAACCAGCCACAATTTGATTTCCACAAAAAACAGTGATTTTCAGATACTTGTGCGATTTTTGGACAGCCTTAGAAACTTGCTACTTTAAACCCTGAAAGGGGCAGTTTTAGGGACCATTTCAGCTGGGAACAGCCGGGTGCCCTTAGACGAGATCTCAGCCTTCTCAAGACACTACAATGTGCAATGTCCCACTATGTGCACCACGATTCACGGGTCGATTGGAGTCGCCAAAGCCTGTGATTGTAAACGACAGGACAAAACCGTCGAAAAACTGGAAACTGCAGTTAACGGTGTTAGAAAACAGCGCCCTCTTTAAACTCCTTGGAAAAGGTCAACTGTTGAGGGCGCTCTGGGTCACGTCCCCGGAAGTATTCGTAACAACATCAATTGTCAATCATTGATGAACTCCCTATGCCGTGTGCATGAAGGAATCAAAGGGATGACGATCATATGATTAATTTTTCAGCCCTTAGTTTGTCATGGCAGAGCCAGTGAAGGCCAAAGAGAAGTCCTTGGAAGACCTTTTTCCGATTCACTGGGCAGTGTGGCACAATGACATCGGTCATTTGAGCAGATTGCTCGAAACCAATCAGGTAAAATATGTCAATTGTCATATGCATACTCGCGTGACTCATCATGCTCATGTCAACAGGAACAAGACACAAACATTGCGACCATGACATATGACAAGTTGACCATTGAAATATTTGACACTGCCAGATTATATATAAATGTTATTGAGGAGGATATTTGTTGTAGCATTTGTTTCTGACTTGTCTTTGATCAGGTTTTATTGATAGACCATAAACTGTTCGGTTCACTCACTGCATTTTGGAATAGTTTGCTTCATTAAAACTCTATCATGTTTATTGCTGTTTTACTAAAGGGGTGAATTTCTGTCTTTTAACCCTAACAGTCCCAAATCCTCCAATTTCAGTACGATTTTACATACACCCTAGGGGGTTAGGGTTAATCATGTTAATCTGACATGTCAGAACACCCCTTTAATCTGTGCCCATATGTTATGTACATGCACCTTTAGTAAGATTTGTTCTTTATATTATTTTCAAAATAAATATAATTCTGATTTGTAGGGCCTACTGAACTTTCATATACATTGATCAGAATGCAAGTTGGAAAGTAATTATCATTTGACAGTTTTTATTTTCACTTGTCCTTGAACAATTATTAATAATTTTTGATGGTTCATTATTGAATATTCAATGTCAAATATTAATTTCAAAGTGGAATATTCAGAAGTGTAAATCAGTGAAATAAAAAAAACTGAACTATTTGATTTAAAGATTATGCTCTGAAAGCATATTTCAGGGCCTCTAATGATGGCTTTTGCCCTTACACAAATGTAGATCTCCTGAGTTAATTGAATTGACTCTGTCTTATATTTTACCCATTCATTTTTTGTGCCTACAGGGTGACGTTGAAGCTGTGGATCCCCATGGTCGCTCCCCACTACACCTGGCTGTGACCCTAGGCCACCTGGAGAGTGTTCGTATCCTCCTGAGACACCATGGCCAAGTCAACGTTGAAAACAAGGGTGGCTGGAATGGTAAGATCGAGGTCGACCTTTCACCTTTGATCTGTGACACTTCCCAGATAGGTTCAGAATGCAGAGGTTAGGAAGGTAGAGCCTGTTAAAGGAGTTAGTTACTCAGTCTGTGGTTGTTTGCATCGGGGTCTTTCTTTGCACGGGGCATTGCGAACCAGTATTCAAAAGTTTTTAGCCAACGACACTATTGGATGTTTCACCGTATTCTCATAAACAAGCAATCTCATCCATTCTGACTGACTTGATCAGAGGTTCTTGGTCCGTTGCACAGTGTTGCAGGAAGCCATCAGTACGGGCGACCCAGAGATTGTTCAGATAGTGCTGCAGCACCGCGACCATCAGCGAGCAACGTCTAGGATCTCAGGAATTCCCCGCCTGCTGGAGAATCTCCGACAGGTTTGGTCCTCGTCCTATTCTCCTGCATGTTTTCTGCTTCTTCCCCGAGGGCATTTTGTGGATAAGTGGGCACCCTAGTGTTTGTGTCTCTGAGAAATATCATTTCGCAACAAAATGCCACCGGCCACCTCAGACGATGTTCTCTCGTAATTGTACCGACGACAATGTTTTTGAGAATTTTGAACAACATTTTGTATTTTTGTCACACTATTCGCATGCTCTGCCGTTATGGTGTTTCATGTGGTAAGCCTGGTCCAAAAGTGAGTGAAGTTGTTGACCAATCAGAGATCAGCTTCCCAAATCAAACTTTTCGTCGACCAATGGATAGCGCTGTACCCAACCAGCATCACTGCCGCCATGTTTGATTTCAGAGTGTGCTGCAGGCATGCGTTGCATCATCTGATGAGTGCATGGTTCCCAGTGTCATTTTTATCTTGGAATTTCCCTCAAAAATCAAAAGTCTCCCTTCCACAAATTAAATCTGCAGATGTTTAACATGTTGTCATCTGTAATGGTTAGTCCAAAAGTTAGTGGTGGAACGGTGCCAAAGTATGCACAATTATTAAAGGCTCTCATAAAAGCACTTGATTGAACGCTGGTTCTGAAAATACCACCAGTCTGAATGTCGAAAGTGTTTAATGTGATATTCATTGTGTGATTCAGAGCTTATAAATTTTACTATGGAACTCATTTCATTCAACTTTTTACCCTTAAATGTATACAAACTGACATCTCCTTTTGGTTAATTTGATTAAAACTTTCTGTACCTGTCAGCTGCCAATCAAACTTGAAACTTATTTCAAATCTTGTGCAAACTTTCCTTTCAGGCTCCCGATTTCTACGTTGAGATGAAATGGGAGTTCACGAGTTGGGGTAGGTAGTGAATATTTCGTTTATCAACTGTGGGGGTTGTGTTTACCTATTGACAATAATTAGACTGTCTGAATTAAATTTTAACCCCTTTGTGCTGGGAGATGGCATCGCCAGGGCTCAGTGGGAGGATTAGTGCATACCACACATACATTCTATTAATAATGCACCTGCGGTTTCAATGTGGGCCTGCTGCTGGACAGGGCTTTGCATACTGGGCATACCGCAGTCCAGCAGTCACTGTCAAAAGAATCTCACCGTGAAGGGGTTAAAGAAATTTGCTAAGTTGCCCCCCCCCCAAAAAAAAAGAGAGATGAAATGTAAAGTAGGGCGCTTAAACCCTAGAAAGGAGAAATTGTCAAACCTGTTCCAAACTGATAGAAAACCCTCAATGCAGAGTCAGTTTCAATAACTGAATATTCGAATATCCCAATTAATCACATATTCGGTTGTACCAAATTCAATGAAAAGCAGAAACAAATATGCAAAGTTATACATTGCTCTAACCTCGTTAAGTTTCACAACAGGAGTCTGCCCCCTAGATATAGCAGGAGGCTTGTAGTCCAAGTGGAATATGGTGAAAATGGTGATATATACGTGGCATCGACAATATCATATTTTGGCCGATATTTTTATATCGATATATCAAATTTGATTCATTTTAATTTTCAAGGTATTATAACAGACGTGAATTTCTGGTAAATTGTTCTAAGGGTACACCCCTACACCATTATGGTGTGATCCAGTTCACTTTGGCGAAATATTCTAGTGCTCATATTTCGTACGTTGCCTACATGGGATGGGATATACACAGCTGTGCATAGCGATGTCATCAGCACGACCACGTGGTGCTTGTCTATGTACATTTGGTTAGCAAATAATTATCTGTTTTGGAGGATAAATTTTGTGATATTTTCAAGGCAAAGTGTACACAAATTATTGAGTGCAAGACTGAGATAAGTGACTGACGTTATTCTTTAAATGTCACCGTATAAGCTGCCCGGAGTGTAAGCTGCAGGGACATTTTTTACTCAGCTTGAGAACCAACGTAAGCTGGAGCTTATCGAAAATTACGGTTGTGTGACGATGCACTTTCATATTTTTCAATAAAGTTCGTTCCTCAATAGCAATAATTTCGATATATTTTTCAATATCGATGTTTTCAAAGTTTTGATATTTTTGATATATCGATATTACCAAATAATTAACATCTGTGATATCGATATCAAACCCATATTGATAGTATTGATATATCGACGGTGCTTAATTTATACCTATATAGTCCGTCTACATAACACACTTACTGTGAGATATTTCTTTCTGCCGATAATGCATGCTTGGGGAAGTTCAAGAGCAAACATTTTCGCTCCTTTAGTCGGTTTTGCGTGGTACCCATGATACGTTTTGTGCATAGGCTACCAGGGAATTTGATCCATGATCGCGCTCATATAACAGACTCGTTCCCATCCCTGCAGCGTATAAGGTAATGCGGGGACCGCTAACCAGACTGTATGTACTCACTGGTACCCGCACTAGTTTCACATTAAAGATTATGCAATTAAAGGAAGCGAGAGAAAAATGCATTTGTAGATGATATCGTTTACGTTTGTTATTGGTTAATTGTACAGTTTGACAGTCGGCCTATCGTCTTCTGAAATTCAGAGCTTGTTTCTTTGGACAAATTCCTGAAGACAGAGGTATGATAGCACCCTTGGCTTTGCCTCGGGGTGCTGTACTTCTTTCAGGTGTTCCAAACCTCATATCCCACACTACAGCAGTCAACAATTGTCAAATACGAAGTATCAACTTGGCGTATGCTTTCAGAGTGCAGTTCGTAACCAAATAAAACGAATTTTCATCTTAATTTTTCACGGTTATTTTTATCTCCGAATATTTTGAAAATAACCATAGAAATATTTGACAATTGATCAAATATTCATATATTTGATGTTTTTTTTTTCCAGTTCCGTTGATGTCCCGGATTTGTCCGCACGACACCTATCGAGTGTGGAAGAGCGGACCCAATGTTCGGATCGACACGACGCTCATTGGGTTTGACAACATGACCTGGCTAAGGGGTAGTCGAAGCTTCATCTTCAAGAGTGAAGGTCAGTCGTTTTCATGGAGGAAGGGGTCAGATTTTTAGCCATTGCCAATGTCATCCTGACCCGAAGTTTCATATAATCTCTCAAATGTTGGTCAGAAAAGTGCTAATTTTTCGACGCATGGGGGTCTCAGGTCTTGTTTTTTTTTGGTGATGTTATCCTGATCAAAATTTCATTTCTGTGATGTCGAGTGTTTTTCTTAGAGCAAAGATCTAGCAGGATAGGGTAGTGGGCAAAATCTGTAATCAATATGTTGAGCACATTCATGTGGAATAACATGGTTTGTAAGAGAATTTGTTATTTCTCTTTAAAAAGTTGCACACTAATATAGTTTGTTGTCCAACTGTTTTGAATAACAAGGCCTCATTGTTTTAATGAAAGGAGTTTCAGTTTGCCAGTCTATTTGCTTGAGTACCAAAAAGGGGTTATGTTGAAAATTGGTTTACACTTTTTTATTCTGGCAAAACTTTAAGAGGTTGGCATTAAATCTAACCACAGCGACCCAGACCGAAAGTCCCGTATAGTAACTGTTTTCTGTCTATCTTATCGCATTTTTCCTTAATTAAGATGACCACAAATTCCAGTTCATGGAGATTGACCATGACAAGCGCGTCGTGTATGCAGAGCTGTTGGAACTTCAGCCCCATCACGACCTGACGCGGATGAGCCCCACTGAAGAAGCTATAGCAACCAGGCTGACCTCACCCATCACCAACACGTTCATCGACACCGAGAAGATTGAATTCACAAGGTCGGGTTTTTCCTCTTTCACACATCAATTTATTTTCAACACCGACCGAATTTTTTTTTTCAACCAGAAATAATAAGCTTACAGTCAGTGCATTTTGGTCACCACGATTGAAAAGATTAACCACTTCCTGCCGAGTGGAATTTGCATGTGTGGGATTTCCCATTTTAAAAATTCTTCAAATATTCATAACTTCATTTACTGGACGCTTACACCCACAAGAATGAGTGCCTGGTGGCTACTCTAATCTGAAAGGCGATCTCCATTGATGCCCGAGTATTGCAGCCAGGCTTGCCGCCCATTAAAGAGAGCCCACGTTGTGCGGTGTGGCGTAATTTCCTTTGTTCCCGAAATTGGCCCAGTGAGTTGCAGAATGGCAGTGGTGTCTTCTCAAATGCGGCCAGATTAGCATGTAGTGGTACTGTACTTATCACTGAGGAGTGCTACAGCACTGCCTTTGGCTGAAATTTTTTTGGGGGGTGACCTCGTGAGTCCAAACAAAAGTGTCTGCAGAAGATCTCACCGGGCTCAGTGGCAGAAAGATAGTATCAGATGTATTCACAGTTCTTCCTTGTTGGATGGCATCTGCTTTAGGGACGAAAGCTGAAATACATTCCAGTCAGCATCCGTCAAGCAGTATCGGCTTGAGATTTGACAATTTAGAATGCAGCCTTTTTTCTTCCATCCAAGGTGCACAAGTTAAACCCTTTATGTGTTGATGTTCGTCCAAAGCTAAGTGAAACTCAATGTATTCACTGCTGTGCACAATTACAGCATGAAATTGATCTGATAATAGATCTCTCAGATTTGTCTGCAATATACTGTGAAGTTTTACTTGTCCGCAGTCACAGAGTTTTTCCTAGAGTGCCTTTAAGTTTGAACATTTTCGTGGACTTTTTTTGTAACGATCTCGAAACCAGGAGTAAAGCAGGGATCTGGGGCTGGCGACATGACAAAGTGGAAGCAATCAATGGCTATGATTGTAAAGTGTTTGCTGCCTCCAATGTTCAGCTCATGACCAAGACGAGATCCGAACATCTCACGAGGGAAGACAAAGAGAAAAATAAACAGAGTGAGTAGTGGAGTGAGTAGTGGAGTGAGTAGTGGAGTGAGTAGTGGAGTGAGTAGTGGAGTGAGCACACGTAGAGGCAGTTGGTTGAAGTGTGTCGGTATTCATCAGATTACATCAGTTGGTTTTGAAAAAAAGCAACTTATCAGCCAAAAAGGGATGAAAATAATGCGTACGCGATTGTGTTTTGATCTCGTGTCTGGAAACCATGCATGTTCTGTTTTGTTTCTGTATCCCTTGAGGCCAATTTATTGTTGGTTATGTGATGATGAATGCAGGACGATGATGGTCACCGCTCACTGATGCTGAAGTGTTTTGGGGCAGTTAAAAGTTGTCATGTGACCCGAAGTCGTAAAGCTTGCAAAATATACCTCATAGGCGCAATTTCCAGTTGTGACAATCGTGTGTGCAGTGGACCAATCATGAAAAAGTTAAGGTCGTAGACAATGTCAAAGTTCAATCATTTGAACTTTGTAGTGATATCGCCAGTCATTTGAACTTTGTAGCTATGTCATCAGTGCCTATTTGCAGCTGGTCACTGGCCTGTATTCTTCATGTAGCATAATCCTGTATCAATATTTCACTTGCACGACAGACTATAAATATTTTTTATTCTCAAATTACATTCCAAACATTATTTGAGTTTGTCAAATTGTTTCTTGTTTCATTTCAGGCACCAGCGTGTTTGCATCTCCGCTTCAGTCATTACTAGGCGTTGCCGAGCAGCATCAGGAGGAGATATCAGGTCAAGGGGTGAGTGTGACCCATTGTGCTTCCCAGCCAATCAGGATGACTTACTTGAGTCACATGGCCCAGCAGTGAACAATCATGTTCATTGATTGGCAGTAGCCTTGCATCTTGTAATTTCAGCACAAGTTGGCTATGCAGTTGGCTATGGGAAAATCACTATTTGATGTTTGTCATAGTTGCTGTTTGTTGTGCATTTCTTGCAGAGTTACAAATGATACTGGTGTTCAAAATCTGCTGAAATCAACTTCACCCAGTTCAAGCTTGTGAATGAAACTTCATTACTGTTTAGTTTTACTCTTTAGCTGTATTAATGATTCCTATTTCTTACCACACTGATCCGAAAAATAATATTTGCCTATGAATAGCAGTGCATTCAGCTTTTGATTGGAGGAAACTCCATTCTACTGACATTTTAGTTGGCATTTTAATGTTTAAGCACTTCAACTGTGTTTTGTTTGTTTGTTTGTTTGTTTGTTTGTTTTTGTTAGCGTGCCTCTCTTTCCAAACCTTTCTGATGAAAAGAGACATAAAAATTTTTCCTCTTTCCCGGCAACACTTTTGCTACTGAATAATTAAATTTTTTAAAAGAAAAGTTTCAGCACACCGTCGCTTACCTTTTCCACTGGTCAAATAACAAAGAAGCAGCCCTCTGACGGAATGTATTTCTTGCAGGCTGAAGAGTCCTCTCTGGCCAACCCCGTCAACCCGACAGACATCCGGCCGGAGGAGTACTTCAACGCCGACTTTGACCTGTCCACACGCGACATCGGGAGGCCCAAGGAGCTGTCCACCAAAGTCCAGAAGTTCCGGGCTACGCTTTGGTTGAGCGAGCACCATCCCCTCTCACTGCAGGAACAGGTGAACCATTCCTGTAAAGGTTTTTTTTAGAGTTTAAAAATTGGTCATTAGATCAGAGCTTGCCCATGTAGCTATCTCTCTGTCCAAATAATATGCCCCCAAAAGTGTAGATGGGGGTAGAAGTTGTGTGGCATTAAAAATTTGTGCTAATTATGCCAATGAATGTGTTAAAATGTGCTAACTAATGATTTTTGGAACAAAAATGTGGCCCAGGGTAACAAAATCAGTTGGAAGTCGCCAGGGCCACCGTTTAGTGAAGGGGCTTTGAAAGAAACTTGCACTATGTTTAAAAGCAGTGGGAACCATTGACCTTTTTCACCTCCATGATACTGATTTTCACCTGGTTTCTAAACCGAGTGATACGTGAAAACAAATCGAAGGTTGTTGTTTATAATGCTAAGTGAGATAAAAAATTACCTTCAGGCCCATTTTGTGAGAGCGAGCCGGTCCGATTTTTGAGATGCTTGCCTGAAGACTGTTTGTCTCAACCCATTCAGGTCTTGCCAATTATTGATCTAATGGCGATCAGCAATGCCCACTTTGCCAAATTGAGGGACTTCATCACACTGCAGCTGCCCACTGGATTCCCGGTCAAGATCGGTGAGCTGGTTTGTCTGTCCCTCACATCTTGACCTAATTATCTATGTCTCTTCCTCTTTCATCATCAGCCCGATGGTTGTCATCCTTGGGATAGTTCTCAGGGGACAGGCTATGGAGAAAATCTTTCCCAAAATTGTTTAATATTTGTGATATTTCTTAAAACTCCTCTCGGGACAGCTCTGCAAGTGGCAAAAATTGGATCCATTAAAGCCAATTTAAAAGGCAGAAGTTGAGTATGTATTCTGTCTGCTGGCAATGACCATTAAAAAATGTCAACAAAGTTCCCATCAAAAGTAGTTCAGAGTCCATTGTTGGCTTTTTAAGACCCGAGGACTTGTGATGGACTTCCAGGGACTTCTAAAGAATTATGATGGACTACACTTGAACACTTCTTTCCTCGGGCTTGTTAGGTGGCCAATAATCACCTTCTCTTAGCCTCCTATACGATATTGGCCTTTTTTTGTCAATTTATCTGAACCGTCATGCATTTGCAGCCAATTCTGTTCCTTCATAACTTGCTAATAGCTTGTCAATTAATGCACATTTCATTCACGTTTTTCTCCTGAAACGTTTGCAGAAATACCTCTGTTCCACATACTGAATGCCTGCATCACCTTCGGCAACCTGTACGCCCATCGTGAACCGGTGACAGGTGTCAGCAACGTTGTTGTCCAAGACCTTGCCAACCCTGAGGGCTCGAAGGACATACCGGGTGGTGAGGACACCGAGGGGGACGAGGCCGAGGCCCCTATGACGGTTTGCTCGGTGGACCCCTCCGTGTTTGACGTCCCCCAGGGGTACGGGCTGTACCAGAGTGGGGAGGTGCGATATGGCGAAGACGAGATGCTCCAGCTGGCGATCCAGCAGAGTCTAATGGAAAGTGGCAGTGAGGATCAGGTAAGGCCTGCCTCTTGTTGACGGATATACACGCTGTTTTGTACACATTCTGTTGGAAATTAGTTTTGCGTACTTAGTGCTATACTCGTGACTGAGCACAACATCCTCGTGACTGAGTACAACATAAGCAGCAAAACTGCACACCATGATGACAACAGATGGACAAATTGCACTTTGATGTTTCCCTCACATAAGGATACAACACATTTTGTGTCCATTCTGCAGAAAATTTGGTTTTCCACATTCTGTTATACAAGTGATGTGGCCATCTTCTGCCAGTGCTTTAGAATCAGTTGTTATGTACATGTATGTACGTTACTGTATGAAGTTTTTAAAGCAACATTATCTTTTTTATATAGCAGATGGCCATTTTAGATTCGGTGGGAAGGGAAGCATCAAGACGGAGTGTTGAAGACCAACTCCTTGAGAGGTGAGACAAAGTGTGATTGAGGCTGTATCCTCCGTTGCTTTTAATGCTTATACTTTGGGTTTGCTTCTAATCCATGACAAGATGTGCTAGTTTTTTTGGGGTCTTCACTTCGCAGGGCAATTCAAGAGAGTTTACTCTGCAGCCGGCCCGATGGTGATGCTCCTCCCGAAGTAATCCCTTCTGGCCCGGACTCTGCCCACCTGACCTTTGAACCGGTCACCGTGACGGCCAACTCAGTCCACCCGAGGCCTCTCCCTACCCAGCCTGCAGAGGGCACCGACCAGCTGGAGTTGGCCCTGCAGCTGTCGCAGCAGGAGATGATGGAGGCAGAGCGGTTGCGCAAGCAGGAAGAAGAAGAGCTGGCGATGATCTTGCAGCTCTCGCTGACCGATAAATGACGCTCCGCAAAGTCAGTCTCCCATGCCACGCCCATCTCGGGAATGGACCACACCCAAGTTATCATTATCGGTTTATTGCAGTAGAAAAAAAGACAAGCAACAACGGCTACGATGGTCATCTGGGTATCTTCCAAACAAGAACTGACTGCTTTAAGTTGTCTAGCGATGGATGAAAAGTACCACCAGCCTCTTGGCCAAGGAATGACACGCCTCTCCAGTATTGAGTCATACAGTGCGTCACCCAAATGAAATGGTATTTGGTTTTTTGCATGTTTGGAGATATTTGGACAAGCAACCGTAGAAGACTCATTTTATTTGTCAGTGTAGATTTGGTTTCGAAGCTAAAATCAACGGACTATCCCTGGAGAAAAATAAAGATAATGACAAAAATGGCCACTTAAATCTAGAAATAGCTAATCTGTTTTTTTAATGGTTGTACACGGGAAACAGAATCAGGAATCAATTGTAAATACACAGATGTCATTGAATTGCAAAATTTACGTCACACAATTGCAGAGTTTTTTAACCTATTTCGGAGTTCTTAGTGCAATAGTGCTTTAATTCTTCAAGGCACTTTCGCACTTACACCAGTCAATGTTTGATGTAGACAGATGTGTCAATGTTTTACCCGAGAAGACTTTTCTACCAAGAATGTCATGAAAATTTAGTCACTGTCCCACGTTGAGAATTTTCAATTTGTCCTTGTACGTTCGGTGTGTATGATAAAATTATAGCATTTTCCAATATGTTTAGGCTAAAGACATGACTTTTCACCGTCGGCGAGTTGAAGTTGTTGCTCTTATGACATTTAACTGTATTACCAAATTCTTTTTATCCCATGTTCTGTCCAAAAGTTGGCATTTTTTTATCATTTCTACATTGCGATCTCTGTGAACAGTCGTCACAAATAATGTGGTATGGGGTTGCTTGCGCTGTGTTTCCAGTGAGAAATTTCTTCTGTAAAAGTCGAGCACCTCTGATCGCCAATGCAGAAATTTGATAAAACAGCCAAATGAGCGTTAACATAACCATTTCTTTCACTCATACTGCGTTTAAAGAGATAGATAGGATGGAAAAAAGAAACAACTCTTCTTCAGTCTATTTGTTTGCAGGGAAATCTATCAAATTTCCAGAACCTTCAGTGGGTCTCAAACAGAAAACGATGACTGCTTCAAAAATGTACAGGCTTCGTTTAGTTTGAAGACAGTGTAAAAACCAGCGCTATATTTTTGTATGCTGCTGTGGCAATCGTGTTTTTGGGTTTACTTGAAATATATTTAAGAAAATATTTTACCTTTCGTTTTTCACTTGAGGTCCTGTATTGATTCAGTATTTTTTCCTAGCTCTATGGAATTTATTACATAGTTAATGCTTTAAATCTTCATGTTGAAAGCTGACTTCTGCCATAAAGGGGTTGCATATCTGGGAAAAACATGGCTGATCAGTGCACCCTTATCAAATTTACAGCAATGCCATCTAGCAGAGCTGTAGCAGAGAGTAGCATCAGCTTGAGACTTTGGAACCAAAATGGCTGTTCATTATGTGAAATACAGCATGTAGCTAGTGGGTGTTAATTGTCTGTGCGCACTGATGCATGAGCCACCATTTTGGTTCCAACAATTCAGACACTCATGTCGCAACACTCTCAATATAATAAGCAGTTCTATCATCTAGCTCTGCACAGCGCCCTCATGCAGTTTGCATAAGAGCCATTTGTATGAGCACGTCAGGCTGTCCTCTGATTGGCAGGAACGGCGGCCAGCCAAGGGTGAGAAACTTTAGCATGCATTTCTGGCAGAAGGTTTAACTGGAGTGTTTTTGAGAAAGTGCACTGGGTATGAACCTGGCGCTGTGCAGTTTGGGCGATTTAGAATGCAGTGCTGCACCAAGAGGTTGTCACAAAGAGCAGGTGCAGATCTGTGATGGGGATAGGGGGTTAAAACAACCCTCTAAAGGTTGGAAGACCTGTAAAGCGGAAACCATTTAGAGGTCTTGTTTTGCATGTGTGGTTGGGGACAAAACAGAGATTTAATGGCTTCACCAATGGCGACAACTGCATGATAACCACCTGGGGAAGAGTTCCATATACGGACACCGGTTAAGTATTCCCTAAAGTGACCTATTAGCTGTCAGAAAGCAAAAGCATGTCCAAAAAAGTTCAATATAGGAGGGAAAAAATCAAGTCATTTACTTAGAAAAACACTCAGAATTTTTCCGACCAGTCTCATAGGGTTTGTGCCCAAGGTGTCCAGCGGCGTCCGTCTATGGAACTCTCTCCACCACTTGCCTTGCACGAACAAAAATTTCCCGTAATTACCCCTGCAGGAGTGCAGGGGCCATTTGACAAAAACATGGTAGATCCACTGCAGGGTGCAATTGAGTTAATGTTACTCGACAACAAAATTTTTTGGTTGATTGGGAACCATCGAACACCGACACCAGTGGAAACACCGACTCTCAAAAACACTCTGACTCGAACAAAACCCAGACAAACAAACATTAGGAACAGTTCAAGTTCCCTGCACATAGCGCAGACAGCGATTAGGACTTTGACTGTTTTCCCACAATGCACTGCAAAAAAGGCCTCACTGTGGTGACCCCTTGGTGGCGCACTGCATTATGAATCGTCCATATTATTGGTTATTATGCCAGGTTGAACAAGAACACAGAGAACAGAAAAGTAAGTGGTGCCAACTCAAATGGTGTTCATGAACATGTTTGTTAGTCAAAAGTTACAATAATTTGACGTTTGCCATGTTTTTAACAAATACACCACAAACGTCCTTTGTGCACTTCTGGGCCCAATTTCACAGCGCTGCTTACTGTAATTCTGTGCTTACGGCAAATGCATTTCACGGGTTAGTGAGGAATTTGGGCTTGTGCACATGTGTACATACCGTAATTAAGCATTGTGTGCTTAAAGGGTCAGCACAGAATGGAGATGGTAAGCGCAGATTTCTGCCGTAAGCAGCGACATGAAATTGGGCCCTGGTATATGATATGGTTTCCCTTTTCAATATAATCTGGGGTTCGTTCCTGGCATGAAGCTAAAGCTGAAGCTGAAATGGGATTTTTTTTTTGTGGCTGCGGCTGTATGCTGTGGCATGCCAATGGCAACAAACGTCAAGTCGTTGCCACAATCTACCTTATTCCACTGTGACTTTGTCGAACAAGGTTCTTGTTCAAAAAGACTGGTACCAGCAAGGCCGTTTGTAGTTCCATCAGGATCTGTACCAGGAACCCAACAAAGATGGCAGCCACAGTATCCACGGTACATGTGTTGTTTGAAAACCGCTGTAAATCTTTTCCAGTAGTAAATGTCTTGCACTTATCGAATCAGAGTCAGATGTAGGAACTTTATTGCTTTATAATGCTGTGAAAGAAAAATGTGACAAATTACCTGTGAAATAAAGTCGTGAAACTGGTATGAGAAAACTGGTACGCAGGGGCATATTCTGCATCTTGCCAGTGTACTTTATACTTCTTTCACAGAATAGAACTCAACGGTTATTAAATATGAACGGCCGTACCATATTGTATCTGTATCTTCATTGAGGTGCAGTTTAATAGACGTCTCAAAAGAATTGGAAAGTTTGTTCTTGGCGTTAGCTAATACCTGGAACTTCTTTACAACCAACCACCTTTCCCGAATGCTACATTAAATGTCAAAAATAACGTCGAAACTGCAAGCACTATACCACATGAACTCCATCTGTACAGCTGAGGTTTGCATCATCAATATTAACAAAAATGACGACTTACCCCAATTCGGTCATTTAATGTGTAAAAAACCTACCATCATTTTTATATAAAAAAAACAAATTTGAATCACTATCACGGTAAATTCAGTGCTACCTTGTATCCAACTTTCTTACCTGAATGGTCCCTGCGAAGAGAAAAGACCCTCGCCTTACAATATTCATCAATGGGAGCCAACTTCTCATGGATTTTGTTTCTAATGTTTAGAATCTACTATTTACACAAATTAAAAATGTAAAAAAAAACCAAGAGGAAAAAAGAAGAGAAGATTGCAACCCATCACCTGGAGTAATTTCAGTTTAATAATTCTCACTTCATCCGATCCGCTGAATTCTCAGAGCTTAGTTTGATGGTTTCAGTTTTGAAAGGTCTAACTGACGTTATCTCGCACGATGTTCCACTTATGTCTTGGAAAAAAATAAAAGAAACGTGCCATTTGATTCCCGCAAAGTGTTGCATATCAAACCCTTGGAGGGTCAGGCCCAATAAAAATATAAATTAATTCTCGTCTCCTCCTGACACTTTCTTCATTTCATTCTTTTTCATTGGCAACATCTTTTTGCATTGTTTCTGACAAATAATGAAGACTTATGTACATGTTTAGAGCCTGTTAGGGTGAAAGCTCCCGTGAGAAACAAAAACTTTAACTTAATTGAAAAAAATCCATCTATCTGGGAAACTGTTCACCTCTCTCTCAAAAAGGAAAAGGGCCTCCTCCCTCGTTGCAAGTATCCCGAGACGAGAAGCTTTTTAAAGAATAAGCCACTTGCGAGTTAAATTTGAATAACATCTGGTACACTGTGTTATCTGATTGCATAGAAACGTAACAATTTGAATTCCCCAGACTAAAGACACTGTTGCTATACCTCGTGATTCGGGGCAAGCTTTTGCATAGCGACCACGCCATCTCTGGAATGGACTGGTTCCTTTGTGACGTTATTATCGGTAGAGAACAGTGTATTGTTGCAAGGCGTCTCTTATGTAACTAAGCAAAAGCTTGCCCCGAATCACGACGTATAGCCAAAGTGGTTTTAGTATGGAGAATTCAAGTTGTTATGTTCACGTGAATTTAAATAACTCAGTGTACCAAATTTTATTCAAAGTTAACTTGCAAATGGCTTATTCACATAGCCTTGGGTTGAATTTCACATGTTCATGTCACACCAAATGTGTGGTTGGAGTGGAAAATCTATAAATCTTGGTTGCATTGTGAAAGAAATAGAATTAAGGGTGAAAGATTAGGTTTACTCAAATGCCTCACGATATCTTCAAATCCACTAACAGTGCACAAGCTTGAGTGATGATCAGTCCTCCCTCGCCACTTGATTGACACTGGTAACCTACTCACAAATTACATCCTGGGTACCAGGATGGTAAGGGTGTTAGGACTGGCTGTGACCAGTGCTCTCCATGATCGAGACGTTGTCGTCCGTGGTGGTGATGATCACGGTAGTGGTCTCCAGCTCCTCGCCCTGTTCGCCTTGCACCAGACCCTGGGGCTCCACGTCGCGGGCAGAGGCACCCCCGTCGCCAGTGTCGGCGGTCGTCAGCATCATGCTGTTGATGAGCGCCTGACTAGGCATGGTGGGGTCGACAGGCATGCTAGTGCGAGGCGTTGTGACCGTGGGGTTGCGTGGGTCATGGCCGGGCTTCACGATCTTGAGCGAGTAGTCAACCACCGAGTAGCCCTGCTCGGGAAGATGACACAAACACAAAGAATGCCTAAATTTTAAAAGATGACAAAACACAGAACTACTTCTCCATAGAAGAACTACAAATATCATAAGGAGAATGAACTGCCACTCTTTTCCTGTCTTTTCATTGCTACTACATAAGGTTTGCATGGCTGCCATCTTGCAGGCCAGTGCTTTTTTCCACAGGGTATGAACAAAAGAGGTTTCCCTGTGGAACAAAACAACTGCCCTGCAAGATGGCTGCCACGCAAAGCCTCTATACTACTTCATTTAATTCTGCCTATAAACAAAGCTGCCCACCACTTCATGTTATTGAGGTCATCTTGATTAAATTTCCCTGTGCTCCGTCGTAGAATAATAGTTTTATTTACGAAATGAAGGTCCATCAAAGAGCTTTCAAAGGGTACATTGCTTGGCTGTGTAGGTGCTGTAATTTGGGAGATTCAAGTTTTAAGGTTATCCAAATTAGTCAAAAGTTTAGTCAACCAGTATCTGAAAATTCAATATGTGAAGTAAAAAAAAGGGAATCTCTGGGTATATTTTATTTGGGTCAATCACCAAACTGTATATTTTCTCATTCTGTTGAGTCAGGTGAAAAATCACAATGAATTGGCATGGAATGACCAACTTGTGGCCAGACTTGTAATGATGCACAATACCTGAACCAGTGTGCTCGATGACAGAACGTTGATGTACGGGCTGAAGAGCTGACTGACGTTTTCCTCAGTGATCCCGCCGCTGACCTCGATAATCAGCTGGGGAAACAAGTCCTTCAGATTGCCCGCTGCCTCTCGCGCTGCCTGATCATGGAACGATAACCGAGATTAGGACATCTTTAAATCTTAGCAAGTAGGCTTGTGCGGGGTACCTGCCCGTCGATATCAAAACCCACCATTTCTTTTAGCTGGGTACCCATTAAAAATCCCACACATCATGAACTTTAACAGCAATGCGCAGATTGCTGAAAAATCACCATGCCGCTGTGACCCTAACTCTAGTTCAGAGATCAAAGGAACAACTTTAGTTACAAAGAAAAGGTAATCTGTTAATAAAAAGGCGAGGGAGACTCCCCTCAAATGTTTAGAAGAAAGTTCTGCTCCTATGCATGTATGAAAAACAGCCCAATTTTGAGCACATGATCCGCCGGGATTGCGCGCAATGCCATTTTTCAAGTGTTCTTTATATTTAAAGGTACCTGGGAACCAAGCATTGACGTATAACGGGTTCCCGGTTTCAAAAATACCCATAAACGCACATGCAAAGAATGGTACTTAGTTCAAAGAGTTATCAACTTTTGTAGGAGTTTGAAAGACTTTGTTGTGTTCCATCCTGATCCTGTTTCCTTATCTACGAAGAATGAGACTTTTTTTTAAAGACAGGATGGCATTTGTTGCTGATTAATTTGAAATCCTACGCATTTTAGCCAGGGAACCTTCCTAAATCCTCTTAAATCCTCCACTCTGCAGGAAACCAATGGATATTCTTTGTATTTCAATTTTCAAGGGGCATCAAGACCCACACAAAGTAAGGATCTACCTTCCTCAATCCTACAAAGTCCTCCCCTGTGCAGGAAACCAATGGGTCATTCTTTGTACTGCAATTTTAAGGAGCATCTGGGCTCATACATTGTTGCAGTTGTGGGGGTTCTACCATCTTTATATCCATCAAACCCTCCAAAATCTCACAGTGGATTTTGAAAGATCTGGGAAGGTTTAGGTCAAGGAGGGTTGCTGGTATTGTCAAGGCAAGTTATGGATTTTGACGGCGGGCATACCTGTGGCTCAAAGTTGTCCAGCATGACAATCTCGGCACCGGCAAGGGCTGCTTCAGTCGCTTCGGGGACGCTGCGACATTCCACTTCGATCTTGCTGCTGAAGCCGCCAACACGTCTGGCATCATGGACCGCCTGGGTGCATTGCATTACGGGAGAAACCAATAAAACGGAGCTGATTTGTCACAAATCGGAACGCAAGCACAGTGTTTCAGAAACCAAGCTAATGAACGAGAGCTTCCAAAACCTACTCCAACTTGGACATCACTAAGTATAGCCTTAGGCCGTGTCCGAAACGGGCTTCCAGAGCAGCGGCTAGGTCTATTGTCTATGCGTTTCCATGCATTTACAATGGAATGAAGACCTTGACCTAGCACTAGACAACAGATTCAGATGCAGCCTTAGTTTTCAAAACATGCTTGGAATTATTTTTTTCAGGCTGGTTCATACTTTAAGCAAATTTGAAATCACAAAATGTGTTCAACTTTTACGAATCACCAATGCAAATATTTGATTTGACGTCACAAATTCATGTTTGTTTTCCCTTTTGTGCGCATTATGAACTGGCCTTTCTAAAATGAAAAATTCACTTGCCAAATAGAAATTGGATCTCGTTTCTGCCGAGAATCACTTGTAACAGGGACAACTTTTTCCCCCCACGATTAACCAATAACCACTTTAAAACCGGTGTTGTAGTATTAGTCTGACCAATGTCCTTGACCCTTGAACTACAGGGACTTCACTCTGCATTGGCCCCACGGTTCAAGGGGTAGGCACGTCCTCAGATATCCGTCACAATTTCTGGCATTCCAATTCAAGTGTACAAAGCTATTTGTATGATGAAAGCATATCTTTGTTGATGTTCATCTGACTACCTGAAAGCTACTAGAAATGTAATCTGATTTGTAAAAGACTTGACAGTTTGAAATCATGCCTACTTTGTCCAACACCAAATTAAATTAGAAGCACGTTTGTGATACCTACGGGGCTTATGGGCTTCTTTTGGCATGCCAAAGTTTGCACATGTTCGCACATACAGTAGAAGTTTTTTGACTTGCCGTTCTGGTTTGCATTTCTTAGAAAGTAAAAGATGTTCTATGGTGTGCCTGGGCAGTTTTGGGAAATATACGAAAGGTGAATAAATAATCCCCTAAATATTTCTTGTCAAAAATTCATGTTCACTGCATAAAGTTCAAAATAAATTAAACCTTACTCATTCGTACGCCAGGTCTATGCTATACTGTACTGCTAGTTACGCCAGGTGGGTTTGTTTATCCAATTTCTATCCACAATTCCTTGCACGCCCAAAACTTCGCACTCTGACCTGGCTTATACTTGGCAGTATTTGTTACTACGGTAACAGCTTTTTTCTACCTTTGTAATACTTCCTGCAGACCAGATGTGATTATCCTTCAGCATGATCATACTGGACAAGTCGTAACGGTGTGTTGACACTCCACCGATCAGCAAGGCGTATTTCTCCACCATTCGAAACCCTGGGGTTGTCTTGCGCGTCCCAGCGATCTCCCCATGCCAATTGTGGCTCTGTGCAATCTGGGTAAAGCGTCGTGCTTTCTTGGCGACCCCACTGGCCCGGGCGAGAATGTTCAGTGCAAGCCTCTCCCCAAGCAGTATGCGCCGAGCGCGCCCCGTGACTGTGGCCACTTCGCAGGGGATGTCGTACAGCTCGGCCCCCTCACGGAACTTCCACTGCACCCAGCAGTCCAGTTCGTGGAAGACCGCGTCGACGAAGGGCACCCCAGCCAGCACGCCGGGACTCTTGCACATGATGACCGCCGTCTCTTCCAAGTCACCCACCACAAACCCGGCGTGATCGAAGCCCGGCGTGTCTTCCAACAACCAGCGTTTGACGGCCTTCTCTACAGCCGTCGGATGCAGGACATGAGGTACGTCGTAACTAGACATGCTGTTGAAGGCGCTGGGTCCACTGTCTGGCAATTCTAGAGGGGCGCTAGCCTTCGGTCCTGCAAATGACCGGTGCTTCGACGTCTGCGCGTGACGATGAAGGTCGTGGTTGTGCGCTCGTAATCGACACTTACAATATCGACACATGACCTTGGTGTCATCGTTCGGTACGCGACCAATCCAGTCCCTAATACCGGGCTGATCCTCCCATTTGCTGTTGTATTTCTTCTTGTACTTCCCCCACTTGCCCATACTCTGCAAAATCGGGTGCTTTTTCGTGAGCAAAGCCGGCGAATACGCCACATAAACCTCCCAACGACACCGGACGAGATACACAGCGCCCTCTACTGACAGTGAAGGCATCATCGATCCAAAGTTGGTTAAAGCCATACAGCTTTTTATAAAGCTCATGGTTAAGCGAAGTTTGTGGTTTTGTTTGTATTGCCTCAACAATACAGGACAAACAATGCAAACAAAACTTACCATAGAATTTAGAAATATTAGCAACAAGTACGTATATAACGGTTGAAAAAGGTAAACAACAGGACAAAAACCCCAGAGAATTTAGGTACGCAGTACAGAATCGTTTCTAGGGATAATCGAAGAACTGGCATATTGGAATATAATTTCCAGCTTGGCACAGAGATAGAAATGCCGTACGCTAGGAAAAAATTTTCATATTTTTGCAGAGGACCTAACTATCTTAATCATTTGTGGATCGTTGGACTGAAAGATTTATTGGAATATGTTTCACTTGAAATATTTTTTAACTTCAGTCTCCTAACTTTTCTTGTTGTTTTTAAAATTTATAAAGCTTTAAACTATTGTGTGTTCCATCTGCTTTTATCTGATTAGTTTGAAGAGCCCCCCCCGACAGTACTCTTTTCTTTTCGGCCGATTCAGGAGCTTATTAAATATTGTCCTGTTGGTTTATATCCAAAGTTTAGTTTTTCTGTTTTTGTGTGTAATGTTTCAACCTGTATACCCCGATAAATGGATTTTAAAAAATAAGCAAAATTAAATAAATTATGTAAAGAGTAACGATCCAGAACGATCTTGCCGAAAATTAGTTATATTCGTAAAGACAAAAGACCTGTAGGCCTAATAAGGGTTGGTGTGTTTCAGTCATAGTGAGAATACAAATTGTATCGTGGTTCTGTTTATTATTCAGGAATTCACTGAACTACGGCAAGATTACCAGATGTCACAGTAAATTCTTTTGTTACCGTATTCAGTGCTTCCTTGACTCAAATTTGGAAGTCTGAACTACTTACTTAACAACCAGTGATGTTCGTTAATTAGTTCTCTTGCTGTCATAATTTAATATTCACAAAATTCTTGCATTCAGGATTGCTCAGAATTTTACTATAATTTGAAACCCACGAACTAGTGAAGTCATCACCTGAAAGAAAAAAAAAAGTTCTGGAGGCCCTTAGCGAAATCAGCTCAGGCGAGTTACACGAGATTTGACAGATGACTCATGCGGCGCACGCTGTCATCATGTCACAGACCCAAGAACGGTTATTATTCGAATATTGTATAATTAGGTTGGCTTTAATGGTGTCGATACCAATCACTACACGGTATTCAAGAATCGATATTTCCTTGCTACACATTGAACGTTGTTACACACTAGCTTGCTATGCCTGACTTTACATGACGATATTGCAAAAAATCACTGAATATTTACTTTTACAAATATAGTTCTTTGCTGACAATGTTCGTGGGGTAGGCCTAATATGTCAAGGAAAACCATTAGAGGAAGTATTTGAACAGTTCACTTTTTCGTGACCTTTGAACATTGGTAACAGTGTCGCTGTACCTCCATAGACATGCACAAGTACATCAAGTATGCGTACGTGTACATATTTACTTCCAAATGACGTCATGTACTTTATTGTAAGGCGCTTTGCTTTCACGAGCACTGCAGAACGACGACGGCTCTTCGTCAAAGTGAAAATGGCAAAGTTCGACGACGTTTGCCGTGCATTCCATGGTAGATTTCTATGCGGAAGTCATTCATATTTTACAGGTTACTTTTATTAAGACGTCCCATAGTTGGGACCGATCATTGAGGTATTTCTATAAATTACGAATTTGGGACTTGTGGCTTACAACTTGGGATACTTGTTCTCCAAAGCTCCAACCTGTTGGCCATAACGGCGACATATACCTTCATCCCCCACCTGGGGGATTTACGCCCATTACATGGCGCAGTGGCAGAGGGCATTAAACGCGGCTCCGTTAATAATGAAGCCCGCCCTCTCTGTTTAAGCCTACACTGATTCCCAGTGTCTGAGCCCTACTTTACTGTTACCGTTACTTACCGTAAAAAAATCCCATGGTGAGCACCAGTCTAATCAGACTTGACTGCGAATCAATTTCTGTCAGAAGTGTCAGAGTTGCGGTCAAAATAAACAATGGGTTTCTTCTCCCTTTGTGCTTGTTTGACTCACTAATTGTATATCTCAGAAGATGTGATTATTCAGATTAACTGCATTTTTGTTTTGAGATTCCACATGTCTGTATCCTTGGTAGTTTTGCGGTTTGAAATAGCTGACGATTTTGACTTGGCGACGTCAATCTGTTTCACATCCTGCAAAGAAAACAATCCAGACATGACAGAAAAAGGTGGAGTGGAAAAGCAACACGAAGGCACGATTTGTGACTTTAAAAATGTTCAAAGAAGACTGAGTTGAATTTATGACTTAATGGAAGGCTTTTATATGTTGATACTTGTGGTTTTAACTTCTGTTGGAAAGATTTCCATATACGGACAGCACTTGATGCCTCTGTGCACAAACCTATGAAACTTCCAAAAAAAAGTGTTTTCTAAGGAGATGCTTGGGAACTTTTGCAGCTGAATTTCACTTTTAGGACATGCCGTCACTTTTGGATGGCTGTTCTAACATTTTAAGGGAAAACTAGTATTGTCCGTATATGGAACTCTTTATGTTGTATAATCGGTTTACAATACGCCGTTGCATGGGTGTCAAATTATGCACTTTTCTTCCACCGCATCGGCCGTAGTCCAATCACACAAAACGCTTAGGCCCAGGCCTACAATAAAAGAAGGAAAAACTGTGGAGAAAACAGTGGTCTTTCTTCGTTCATCTGTATTGGCTTCCAGTTGACATAATTGCATTGAGCATCCACTTTTTATGGAAAAAAGTGTCATCTGTAGAGCAAAGATGTTAAGCTGTAAGACAAATCTTTATTCAGAAAACTCGGATACACTGACGTTGCAATCCAGTACAGGGACAGTTTACAGCTAAACTGTGAAGATAATTTGATTGGTGGGCCATTTATAAGGCAGTCAGTCCATTAGAGTGCAGAGTTTGTTCCTTAGACCGTATCCTATGTTCGTATTTGCACATGCAGTTTGACGTTCTGTTGCACTTGATTCCCTGCTAGGAAATAAAATTCAAAGTAAAGATGGCTGCTCGCTTGGCGACAGCGAGTTGGCTGCATCAAATACCGCCTCGTTTCCAAAACACCGAGAGGAAGAAGTGTCCAAAAAGATGAATCCGTCCCAAAAGGAGATCCAGGGACCTAGAAAGAGGATGGCCAAGGATGCGGTTGCTAAGCAACAGTTGCTTGAGCAGCATCGGGGCTCCAGGGAAATGAGAGAGATCATTGTAGAAACTGTGACCTTCACAGGTCTGTATTCCATAGGTTTTGAGAGTTTTAAGTTGAATTTTCTTCCCGAACATCATTTCAGTTCGACAACAGGGGCAGATCCAGGGGGACGAGGGCATGGGAGGCACATGCCCCGTTTTTTCAACCCCCCCAAAAAAAGGAGAAAAACAGGGAGGGAGAAGAAAATGAGGGGTCATGCTGCCTGAAATAAGCCATTTGTGATTTAAATTTGAATAACATCTGGTAAAGTGAGTTATCTGACTGCATATAAACATAACAATTTGAATTCCCCTGACTAAAGACACTGTTGCTATACCTCGTGATTCGGGGTAAGCTTTTGCAAAGTGACCACACCGTCTCTGGAATGGACTGGTTCCTAAGTGCCCTTCTTTTCCACTGAGAACAGTGCATTGTTGCAAGGCATCTCTTATGTAACTAAGGAAAAGCTTGCCCGAATCACGAGGTATAGCAACAGTGTCTTTAGTATGGAGAATTCCAATCGTTACGTTCACATGAATTTAAAGAACTCAATGTACCAGATTTTATTCAAATTTAACTTGCAAAAGGCTTATTGTGCCACAGAGCACCTAGGATACAAAATGGCCCCAGACCCCACACCAGATGGGCATTTTACCATTTACTGCTTTAGTTCATAGGCCCTCCTTTTAGAAATTCCAGGACCATGTGCCCCTTTGGGAAAATCCTGTTTCCGCACTGGTCATACTCATTGGACATGCACTTACACTCTTTTTTAGCAGGTTCAGAGTTTGACAGAAGGAATCCAGAAAATCCAGAAAAAGCTGATGTGAAGGACCAAGACAACTCACTGTCAACTGTGGAAGGTATCCAAGATGCCCCCAGCATGCCAGCAGATCCCAACCCAGACGACCCTCGCAAGTTGAAAGCTGAGCCCAAGGCTGAGCCCAAGACTCAAGTGGAAGGCAACTCAACTAAAGATTTGTCAGGTGGTAAACCAGCCGGGCACAAAAACAAGAAATCCAAAAAAATGCCCAGTAACGTCGATGCGGCCAAGAGGGCATCAATGCCCGAGTCATCTTTCCAGAGCAGAGACGGACAGAAAGATTCTTCATCCGAACGATCGGGTCAAAAGACACAGAGAGAGGAGGAACTTAAATCTGACATTCCCTTGAGTGATCCCACTTCTGCCACCAGAAGCTATGCCTCTGCTGTGTCTGGAAGCCCCCTTGCTGAGATGGTAGAGACCAAAGATGAACACGGCGTCTTGCCCGCTGACAGCAGTGTCTCAGTTGGAGGCAGTGCCCAGGATGGCAAGCATGCCTCTAAGAGCCCACTGTCTAAACACCAGAACGTGATCCCATTTTTCTCTGGGAATCCAAGCGTGGAAATAACGAAAGGAATTCTCCATCTCTTCAAGGAAAAGTAAGTAGGACAACCGAATTCCCCACTGGCAGTAAAATTCTTGTCTGAAGATTATCTAATGAATTTCTCATTGATATCTACCTTGGACTTTTCTTAACCTGGATCTGGATATAACTCTTTCAATCCAATTCAGCGAGATGACTCCACTGGATGAAGGTGTGACCCGAAGCGAGATGCTCTGCATGTTGGCAGTTCCTGCGACAATGACCTGCCACGACCTCCTTCAACTGGCCGCCCCTCTCAGCCAGGGCATCCAACTGATGCGGGTGATCCGGGACACCACGCCCAATCAGTACATGGTCCTCATCAAATTCAAGCAACAGGTGAGCTACACAGATTGCTTGTTGAACTGCTTGCCAGAGGACGTTTTAAAAAAATGAATAAATCTTTTGTTCAATAGAGTATGTACAAAAGAGGTTTCCCTGTGGAACAAAATGAACTGCCTGCAAGATGGCTACCATGCAAGGCCTCTATAAACAGGCATGAATGACAGGTTAAAAATGTCATTCATTGTCTCTGGTTGAAATTTTAAACGCGCTAGTACCACAGTTGTTTTGTACACAGACACAGAGTCTGAGAAGTCTGTGGAGATAGCTTGTTTGTTTAACTGTAACTTGGCACCTGTGCATGGCCTGTAGTTTGGGTAAATGTTGCTCCCTTAGAAGCATGCCCCTAGAGTAATAGAAAATGTGAAATTGCGGCAGGAATTGTGCGAATGCAGTTTGACTGACTCTTGCGACCCAGTGTTGGTAACTTTTCACCGTGTATCAAAAGTTGGCCGCTGTATCTTGCCTGCTCTGACAGTCAAATTGTTAAACCAAAATTACTTTGCACAGCTGAAAATAATTTGCACCAATGGGAACATCTGGCTGTTAATTTCAGCCGCTTGCTTTTGGTTCTTGTGTTATCGCTCAGCCAAGTAATTTGGACAAGACCAAATTCACATGCCCTGTACATGAAAGTATGGTGCACTGGCTGAGATTTGTGACTCAAGATCAGAGTGTCAGGGGTTCGAATCCAGCTGCTGACTGTATACTGGATATTGTGTCCATGGGCAAGCCACTTTGCCTCCACTTGCCTCTCTCCACCTAGGAGTATACAAGGAAAATTGGCATTTTCTAGGAAGCAACCTATGGTTTACTGGAATCCTGTCCGAAGAAATAGTTTCAGTTATTTCTAGCCACCAAAGGCAGAGAAAAATGCTGGCCTGTGGGACCACGTTGGCTCGTGACAGACTTCACTTTTTTGGGGTGAACATGATGAAAAATTACAACATCTTTTCATTTCCTTTTTGCAGAAAGATGCCGATGAGTTTTACTCAGAGTTCAACGGCAAACCTTTCAATTCCATTGAGAGCAGCATCTGTTACTTGGTCTACGTGTCCAGGGTCGAATGCATGAAAGCCTCAGAGGTAAGTTGTGTCTATTAGCTTTGTGCATGAATTGACGAGGGCGCTCTGTAGCTTTATATATCGAATTGACTTTTAGCTGCCTCCAAATATGTTGACTAGGGCTAGGTCTAGATCTTTGCCAATTGAAGATACACATAGACGTACTACTGACAACAGACAGAGAGGCTCTGGAAGCCCAATCTGGACACAGCCTGAGGTTACATTTTTTGTTGGCCAATTTTAAAGAGTTACTGACTGCAGAAATGCGCTAAGCACAGTTAATAGTGGCTATTGAAAAACAGGTTTAATACTGACGAAAGTGCTGCTCATTGTGTGCCACACAAGACTGGTCGTCCGCTCATTTTTGCTCATCCAAAAATGAGGAGCAGTTTCCTGTTGAAGGGAATTAAGCAGAGATTGGGCCCTTGGGGAAGGGAGGGGCTATGCCTTACAATGACGAGGAGGCCCCGTTAACTTTCTGCATGGTATCTTTGCATCTTGCAGGGTGCGACTCTACCGGTTCCGGGATTGACGGAGCTGCCCACCTGCCATATCTGCCTGGAGCGCATGGATGAATCGGTGGACGGGATCCTGACCATACTGTGCAATCATTCCTTCCATGGGAACTGCTTGGACAAATGGGGTGACACAAGGTAAGGCAAACAGGGTGACAACATTGGCCCTGTATGTTTAGGTTTGTCTAAGGCCTGTGTTGGCACTGTGCTATCTCAGAGTTGGTTGATGTTCCAGATTTTGGAAGAGACCCTTGCCAGGTTATCACTTCAGCTTTCTACAGGGTGAATGATTGATTCCGTTGTGAGCAGAAAAGTGCAAAAATCAAATTAGTCGCACTGCATAAAGTTTGATTGAAATATTTGTTGAGCCAGTTTGATGTTACACAGGATAAAAAGGGACCAAGGTTAGTGCAGATTTATGAAATGTGTCAAATATAATTATTTCAAAATGGAAATGACCATGTTCTGAAACTGAATCTCTGTGGCTTGCTTTTTTCTAGTTGTCCCGTATGTCGTTACTGTCAGACACCAGAGGCAGTCGAGGACCACAAATGCTTCACCTGTGGGGCACAGGAGGTGGGAATTCGCTTCCTATTAGTTTAGCACCAATCCTTTTCAATTTGCTTGACCATTTATCTCTCTGTGAGCTATCAAGGTTGGGACAAGAACCAAAGAACTCAACTTTAATGGGAGACCCGTGAAGTAATGTTTAAGGCATCTGGATGCAGAACAACTGATTGGTGTATTTAGTTCTTTCTCTTCAAAGTTTGTTGCAGGATTTTCAAAGGTAATAGGAAATGAAACAACAGCAGAACTAAATATCTACTTCTGTGGTCAACATTTTACACATACTTTGGTTGTAAATGTTTCATAAGAAGTTGTGAGACTTGATCTATTCCTGGCAACCATTTCTCTTCCATTGGTAATCAATCCAAGTAACGAGAGTACATTAAAACATTCTTCACGGTTTCATGTATTATAGAGTCTGCATTAATGTAAACATAGCCTATGTTACCTGATCAGCTACAGAAACAAAATGGCTACCAAGAATCGGTACAGTCTCAAAAATCAAGATTAAACCCTTTCAGTCCATGTCTACTCCTATGTTTGAACCGCCGCCGTACCTCTCTTGATGGGGCATTGAATATTACAACTTGGCCTTACAACTTTGTCAATGCCACAAGTACCGATCCGTCACTTGGCTAACGCTTGATGCCAATGCTTCTGTTGTTGACAGAGTCTATGGATATGCCTGATCTGTGGCCATGTTGGCTGTGGACGATACTCCAACCGCCATTCCTACACCCATTTCGAGGAGACTCAGCATACGTACGCCATGCAGCTGGGCAATCAGAGAGTGTGGGACTACGCTGGAGGTAGGATCAGAGAGCTTGGCCTGGAATGCAAAAACCAGGTTTTGGATTTTATAGCAGAATGCTGGAGAAAAGGCAGATGATGAATTAGACCAGGGAACTTGGTGGATTCTAAAGAATGAAGCCCCTTAACTAGAGTAGTTTATGTAGTCACTACAAATCCTCATAATCAGTCACAAGCCGTCACAGATTATCCCTTGGTATCACAAGTTGTCACAAGCCATCACAAGTCAACGCCATTCAGGCTGATATCACAAGCCAGTCACCAGCCAGTCACAGGTCATCACAAGCCATCACAGATAATCACAAGTTGTCACAAGCCATCACAAGACAAGCAAAAAGTCAGTCAAGTGGCAGATCTTGTCACCACACTATCACAAGTCACAAGTCATCACAAGTTGACAGAAACCACCACAGGTTAAGCACATGTTGGTCATTAGAGGTGAAACACAAGTCCTCACCATGTGTCAGAATTTGTCACAACTGGTTGCCATTGACCGTGACAAAGGAATTCTTTCCTGTTCTTATTTACCCATTGTGCGCCACAAGATATGGCTAAAAACTGGAAAACAATATAGAGCCGAGGTTCTTTACAATGTTGAATTGAGTTCAACTCTTCACCAAATGCTGAACAGAGTTTAGAGTCAAATGACGACTGATAGATCTGGTAACACAATGGACTTTGCATTTCACGGCCACAGATAACTACGTCCATCGGCTAGTCCAGAGCAAAGGCGACGGTAAACCCATCGAGTGGGACAGGCAGGACACGGAGACAGCCCACACAGAGAAGCTGGACTCGCTTCAACTTGAGGTACGCGATCTGAGACATGGGGACAAGAAAGAGCAAAACTAAACATTGGTCAGCCGAGACTGGCCTTTACATCAGCGCTTATGAAGTTGTTGGCATGTGGAAATCTGATGTGAGAGTTTTGTAGAATGGCTTAAAAAATAAGAAACCCTTGCTCCATCCCCAATGTAGTTATGGACTGAATGTTCTCTTTATTTTGTGTCTAAAATGAGAATTCCTGATCCGGATTTTGTTAAAATTTTGGAGCAACAAAACCCAACTTCAGGATCCGATTAGAACTGATCGCGTGTAGCATCATCTGGTTTGTTTTACCGATTGTTTGCTTACTTCAAAAGAGAAAATACTGAACGCTTTTTCAAATTCACTGATAGGTGGGCTTGACTGGCAGCAAAGTCCTTGGATATTTTGTGTCTCTACAATTGATTTGTTGTGCTTTGTTTGGTCACAGTATTCCTACCTATTGACAAGCCAGTTAGAGTCACAGAGAATCTACTTTGAGGAGCAGATGGCTCGCATCGAACAAGATGCTCTGAACAGAGTAAGTCTTCCGAACAGCAAGGATGTAATAGATCAAATGGATGAGCCGATGGATGATCGAAAAAAATCGGAATTGGAAAAAGTGAGCCGAGTTGTCATACCAGCCAGTACCAAAATTCCTATAATAATTCCAACTTCATGATTAAAAACTCAAGAGATGCCATTACTACAGTAAGCCCATGTTTTGGGTCTGGTGAGCCCATAGTTTAGGCCTCATATGCCCATGGTCGGTGGTCTTGTGTGCCCATGATTCGGGTTTCGTTTGCCAGTAGTTTGGGTCTGGTGAGCCCATAGTTAAGGCCTCATATGCCCATGGTTGGTGGTCTTGTGTGCACGTGGTTCGGGTTTTGTGTGCTAAGAGTTTGGGTCTGGTGTGCCCATAATTTGTGTGATGTGCCCATGGCTCAGGTCTTGGTGTTCCCATAGGTAAGGTTTGGTGAGTGCATAGTTTGGATCTGGTTTTCATGTAATTCAATCGTGATAAGTCCATGGTTTGGGATTCTACGTGCCCACGGTGAATGGCTTAGCAAGGATTTTACTAGTGGGGGGCAGAAAGGGACACCAACTTTCAGTGGTGTGTTTTTTGGGGCAAGTTTTTTTAGCCTTGTTCAATATCCATTCCTCTGTTTTTCCGGTGGGGGGGCACCAGGAATTTGTGGGGGGCACATGCCCCCCAAGGCCCACCCCGTGGCTACGGCACTGCCCACAGTTTGATCCAGTGTACCCATAGTTTGGGGCTGGTGGGCCCACATGGGGTACTGTGTGTCCACTAATTTAGATTTAATTGCACAGCCTGGAGTAAACTTGAGTGCCATTATGATCGGTGTGCAGCAATACATGTAAATGTTCTCTTTGGCTGTGACAAAGTTCAAGAGACTCAAGAGACTCAAGAGAAGAGATGGGCATTGAATGCATGTATTTGACTAGTTTGACTTGATTATTGCATGGTCTGGTCTTGATTATTAGATGTCAGAAGTGGAGGCCCGCTCTCGGAAGACAGTCGAAGAGAGAGACAAGATGGAGCAGTGCCTGCAGACTGCGGTCAAGGAGAAGACAGGACTGGAGAGGAAATGCTCTCAGCTCAGCAGCCGACTCAGTAAGATAACCGCCGAGCTCAAGGAGGAAAAAGAGGTACGTTTAGAGTTGACTGCAACCAGTTCAAGACCCTGTGGTATTCCTGGACCGATTTGAAGGAGAAAGAGGCCCATATGTCACGATATTTTGCAATGTCAGTCTTAAGGCCATTTTTTAAGTTAATGCTGTTTTTGTTTGCAGATCAAATGGAGGTCTTTGATTTGATGTATCACTTAGCTTTGGATCCTGATACAGACAGACAACATCTATAAAGATCTTGGGTGTTCCCGTTGATTTGACAGTATGCAAATTTTTTAAATGCCTTCAATTCCTAAACGGCACTTGTGACTTTAAGTTGGGCTGCACGATTGCTCTTCTCTTCGGAAAGAGATACCTTGGACAGTATGTGACTTGAATGGACATTGCTATTTTCTCTCTCTCTCTGATTATCAGATGAATCGATGCTTGAGGGACAATCAACAACTTTGGCAGACCAAAGTAATGGAGCTAGAAAAGAAATGCAACGAAGACAGTAAACAAAAGCAAGGGGTATGTACATGTTTTCTTCTGCTGCCTCTGAATTGTCAATAGTTTTTGCGTGGTTTCTTGAAAACAATAAACCTCATGCGGTTTTGAATAAAATTTTATGGAATGACAAAGCATGGAGAAATAAAACACATAAAGTGAATTGCGAAAGAAACCAAAAAAAGTGGAATTGGGTGAAAATTACCAATTTGCATGTAAATACCTCGCAATTGACCCCAATTTAGTGTTAATGGTTTGTCAATTTGCCAATGATGAGCACTTTCACTTGCCTGAAAAAAAATCCTGACAATGCCCACTGCAGAGACCAGTGATAGAATTTGTTAAAGTGTGGTTGGGAAGGTGCATCGAAGTGAGCCATTTGCAATCTTGTGCTCGTGCAGGAAATTGATGACCTGAAGGAGCAACTGCGAGACTTGATGTTCTACCTGGATGCCCAGCAGAAGATCGGCAGCACCTCAGAAGACACCCGGCAGGAAATCCAAGACGGGCAGATCGTGATTGGTGCGGCGGCCGCGTCCTCGTCGACGTCGTCGCGCAAAGGCCGGAAAAAGGGACGGTGATGTGGCTCAGGTTACATGTGCAAGAGGGTCTTTCAGTGTGATCAGCTGGTGAGGATGGTTAAGTGGATCTTGCAGAGTAAAAATAAGCCTGAAAAACTCATCGTTCAAGAGTAAGTGCTTTAACCGAGGATGGCTGTTTCCTGTTTGTCGGGATGCATTCAACCCAAGTCCTCCAAAAAGGTGCTTTGTGCGTGCTCAGATGTCTGTAGAAGGTGCTGTGTATAAATTGCAGCTGTCTACAGAGGGCGCTGTGTACAAATGGAGCTGCCTGCAGAGAGCAGTATGTACAAGCTGACCTGTCTATAAAGAGTGCTTTGTGCAGTTGCTGCCGTCTACTGAGGGCGCTTTGTACAAATGCTGGGCAAATTAGAGTGACACCACTAGTTATAATTATAGTGCAACTAACACTGCCAGTGATGGATTGTATGGACCGACTAGTCGACTGCTGGTTGTCAGTGGCCAAAGATTTTGATACATCAATGTGGAGGGAACCATTCTCATGAAAAGAATGAAATAATTATGCACAAATGTGCTTGCCTACAGAGGGCGCGGTGTACTATCAGCTGATATCTGCAGAGGGCACTGTGCACTCATCATGAGGCTTAGAGCTGTTTATACGGTCATTTGCAAAGGTTCAGGACCACCCACAGAAAATGCATCAACCTGAAGAAAAACCAAACTTAAACCAGTCAATCATGGCAACTTGTGTTTATTTTTAATGTGTAACCTAATTGTATCTTGGTTAAATAGCAATTTGATTACTTGTCCATGATTTGACTTGTTAACTGGCTAATATTTAGGTTGCCCTCGGTTATTTTTGATTACTTAGACTGGCTTGTTTGCCCATGCTGCCTTACAGACAAAATGTATATATGTAGACCTGCCTTTGCAACAAAATTCACGCAAATGGGCTCATAGTTCGACTCTGATGTTATCACTACTGTAAGAAATATCTTATGTAACCATTCAATGAAACAAGGTAATGCATCCCCAGTGACAGAAATACCAACAAAACTCCCGGTGGTCTTAAACTTTTGCAGATGACTGTAGAGAGAGTAGCGACATAAGTGTCTCAATCATTAGAACCAAAATGGTGGATTATTAGCACACAATGGCTGCATGCTGTGCTGTATAGATAATGAACAGCCATTTTGGTTCCAAAGTCTGAAGTTGGCTCTACTGTCTCTATATACAGCTCTGATGCAGCTGGTGTCGGTAGACCATGGACGTCCTATTAAAAAATTTGGACTTGCAGTGCCATAGTACCGATTGAAGCCACTGGCGGCCATTTTACCATACCAAATACAAAAGTGATGGTTGGCAAACTTACCACTGTAACTGTTGAAGAAACAAACGAATTTAGTTAACAATAACAATAAACATTTGTATTACTTTTGTATTCGGCACAGTAAGATTGCCGCTAGGGACTTAAGTGACCTGTGCATGCTTGGTAAGATTTGAAACTTTGCATGGTGGCGGCTAGACTTGGAGAAGGTGTGCGAGTACACCACGTGAAACTGATTTCTTCTATAAAACTAGTGGTTCTGAGAAGAACCGGTGAGTGTAAACTTGAGATTTCGACCAGCATACTCCGGTCATCCTCAAGAGAGATGCCAGACTGGAGTGGAGCACTGAGTTACAAGATGTGATATCAGAGATGTGTGGTAGAGAATGTTACTGGAGAATTGGCTTGTGGTTTATAATGGAGCACAAGTGGGTGGATGCTGCATCCTTGTTGCTGGAGCGTGAAGTGACTGACTTAATTGGGTCGCTGGTTACTGGGGCAATGAAGGGGGTGGATGCTGTATGTCTGCTGCGCTGGAGACGGCGTTGATGCGGTGGGGTTAGGGTGGTGGCTTTGGGTATAGGTGAGAGAGCTGGACAGCTGTGTGGACTTCAGATATAGAGGACCCTAACGTCTGTTGGCTTAGGGGCTTTAGTGGTGCCGTGGCTTGTAGGAATGGTCACCAGATGTCGCTTAGCTGGCAACGGATGTCTTGTGGGACAGTGTTGTGCCAGAAGATCTTGATGGCTTCTCAGATTCTTCTGGGGAGCCAATTCTTATGGGGTAATGATCTACCCCGAGTCCCAGTTGATATTGTGGTCGGAGGCGTGTGCATGCTTGACGATGGCCGACCGAGGGTCGTAGTCTCCGTCACAGTCATAAGCGCAGTGTTCCTTCATCCTGGTGGGCAGGTTCCTTCCGGTTTTCCCGAGGTAGACCTTTCCACACTCACGGGTATGCAGTACACACCTGGACGGTTACTGGCGTGCTCTTTGTCCTTGTGGGTATAGAGGATGGACTTGGGATTGTTCGGAGCAGAGTGGAAACTTTGGATGTTTGCTGACTGTAGAATACGTTGGAGCTGGTGAGAGACTGTGCCTAAGCAACGGAGACAGACTATGGCATTGGGCTCACATGGCGTTACCTATAAGCCGTCTCTTACTCTGCGTGCTGCAGAGAGCTGCTTTAGTACCCAACGCCCTTGTGTATATAATGCAGCAATCCATGGAGGCTCTCAGTACAAATGCTTGTATGCCAGTGCTTGCTGAAGCATTAACTGATTCGGTAGTGGACAGCATCTTGTAATTTTATGGTGGACCAAAAAAGTGGACACAAAATTTAATTCACTGCAAATGGTGTGCCTCGTTCTAGAGTGCTTCGTGGAATGGATATTCAACCCATCACCTCATAATATTCTGTTGTTGTACTCAGCTCGCAAACTGGTGACAACATACATCGATCAGGCTGAAAATAAAATCGTGAAGTACAGAGATACATGTGCACACACAAAAAATCCATTTCCTGTTACAGGGGTAGCAACATCTCACTATCCCAGAGTGTACTCGAAATTGTTGAAATAAATTTTCACAATTCTGCGAATGAAACTACGCGTAAGGATTCCTCAAATGTTTCTGGGGCACGGTAGCCCGAAAACCCGAAGAAGCCTTTAGGGAGGAGACATTGAGAAACAGTTACAACTTTAGAGATAGGAGAAAAACCCCAAGAAAAGAAAAGGAAAAAAACACGTGGACTAGACCGGAGTTCGAACCCGTCTCCCCAGCGAGGCTAATCTGCCTCAGTGGCGATAGCTTGTTTCTGACGGGGAACCTGAATGACTCTTATCCAGCAGAATGTACACGTACATTTTCCATTTGTTACTTGAGGAAAAGGCTTACTTCTTTGGGCTTGTCGGGGGGGGGGTAAGGGTGAGCAAAACTGCCCAGCTTCAAGGAATGCCAGTCTCTCACCGAAGAATCTAGGTTCATTCAAATATGGGAACATGAAGGACAGAGGCTCTACATGGCTGTACGTGTTCCCGTTGTATTCCTACATTTTAACCCGGCATTTAGGGCCGGGCCTCCCACTTAACTCCACTGCAGATGATCAGGCATTGATTCTGAAAGGTTTGGGCAGAATGAACCAACATATGACCCCGCATTCAAAGATTTGAGGATGAATAATGCTTCGTGATGTGCGTTGTTGCCCAAAAAGGACCTAGATCAGTGCAATTAACTGAGACGTTCCTAAGATGTATAGGAGCGGTTAATTGGAGTTGTGAATGTGATAAGCGTCGTTGCCCTATTTTGTTGAGCATTCAACGGTTTGCCAAGCTGTGGAAAGTCCGCTTTGCGGTGCTCTCCAGGTGACATCACTGATCTCTCTACACTGGATAGCCAGCTCTGCTCTGTGAATTGAAGCGACTGCTCGGCCACCTCAGTCTATTCACTACAATGGTATTTTGCAAGTCACCAGCCTTAGCGCTGTGCAGGAATGCAATTTTTAATGCACTGAAGTTGAAAGCCATTGTATTGAATAGCCTAAGATGGCCGCTGTCACTTCAATTCACACATAGGCGGTTACTGCTGAGCTGCTTATCCAGCCTATAGTGTAATTCTACCACCAGAATTAGAAGCCATTACTGCGGTGGTACAACGCTCGTGGACAGGTGGTACGCGCGCGTTACATACATCTTCGACCAGTAGGGTGTCGTGATTTGCCACATGCACGCGTGCGTCAAGCTGAAGAATGTGCGTATGAGTGCAGTACCACCGCAGTTAAGGCGTCTGGTCGGATTAGCGTATAGAGATCAGTGGGTGACTTGGTCGTATTGCACGATTTTTTTTTAAAATTGCGCACTCCTAGTAGAGTTGTGGAATTCTACACCATCTTTCTAGTCATTGACTTGACTCAAGTCTGTGGCTTTCGATGTGAATACTTTGATCAGCGAAATACCAAACCGTACACAAGCGGCAACCTTCTTGCCATGCGATGTGGGGTTCAAGATTTGGATACTGTATGGCAACGCGTGTGCGCACCCCAAGAGCTGAACTGCTCGTATCATTGTCACAGTGTGACGCAAAATGGTTTGTGTGTTAGAACGTTCCGTTTACCATCGTGCATTCAACACGTGACTTGATCCCCCGATAATCATGTTTCAAGGGAAAGTCCAATATGCCTAACATACCAGTCTTTCACATGCTGAAATATAATTCAACCAGTTTGACGTCATCGATAGGCTTAATGGATATTAAGACAGTGCTTGTCTGTCTTACTGGATTAACTGTTTTGATTCAAAATACAGATCTAGTTAATTTTATTATTTGGTCAGGTTTGATTACGTCGAATAATACAGGATCAATCACGCTTGTAACTTTCTGGTGATGTATTGATACAAAAACACAAAAGAAATGTTTAGCCTTTCGTCTTAGCCTTTAACTGTACTGTAATATTCTGATACGTGTAAAAGATGTGACTGTGGAACACTAATTATGCGATATTTAAAGATGTATAAAATATCGAAGCTTTAATACTGAAGGAATGCCAAGAGAAATACACCTGAGCATCTAATGAAATTGCCTTGTGTCTGTCGTGTCTTTTCTGTTGGGTTGTTTCTTTACTAACAACTAGTGTAAAGTTCTAGTCTTTAGTTTTCATCAGAGGTGGTAACAAATCAACTTTTGCAAGTCCAAGTCAAGTCACAAGTCTTTTTGTTCAAGTACAAAGTCAAGTTGCACTTTGTGTGATTTCGCCCGCGACTGGAGCTACGTTGGAAGGTTTGGATATTTTGTCTGACCCGGGGCGTGTGAATGGTAGGATATGCATAATTCATATCACTTGAGTGATGGTGGGCTGAAGTTATGCAAATACGTGTAACCCAACCTGTGGACATGCTTCACGTTCACTAACGACGTTTTCGAACTGAAAAACCAGTCAACATCAAGTTCAACATTTTTAAGACGCTTTGAAATAAGCACTCACAGATATTCTTCTATAGTAGCCAAGAACTTGTGATGAGCGCAGATAATTTGAGCCATTATCAATTTTTGCGGTGTCTCACATTCTTGAATACAGTCACAATGTATGATATGTCCGCTCGCTTTATACCGCGAATCTAGCCCATTTCTCCCCAAAACTGGAAATTCAAAGGATGAATTCTCAAAAATATCTAATTGTGGGTAGATGTTATAAAAATTTTATATTAGCGTGTCTTGAAGGCATGTTACAACCACCTAAACGTGGTATTTGAAGCGGCAATGTTCGGCCTTCTATACCGGGACGCCATTTTTGTTTTTAATTCTAGGCCAAGTGGCGTCATGAACTGATTTGATATCAATAAAAGGCTCAAACAAAGCTTGAAATCAGGAGAAACAATCAAAAACATACGCATTGCCAAACAAATATGACCACAGCAGCGAAGTAATTCAGGCGTGGCCTTGGGCAGACAAGACCGAAGTAGAAGTTGCGAGCCGAACGAAATCTTACGATGATTAGTTTAAGAACGCAAGGCGTAAGTTGATAGGCCTATATTTAAAACTGTAATGAGTTCAATCGAATAGTTTTCTCACATGCGATGGTAACAAGTCATCATGTGCAAGTCCAAGTCAAGACACAAGTTAGTCAACAACCGATAGTTACAAGTCAAGTCACGAGTCACAAAAATAGCGACTTGAGTTCCACTCGAGTTCAAGTCAAGTGACTCGAGTCTACAACTCTTGTTTTCATAGTAACCATGTGGTATGATATCACTCATGTTTACAATGATCTGAATGATATAAATAACGTCACCCCAAGCGAAGTTATTATTACTTCTGTTAAAGCCGGTGGTAATAGGCACGCCAAGTCATATGGAGGGCTTATTAGAGTGAACGTTTTGAGTTTTCACACTTTTCGTTGTCGGGGTTGTTATCTATTCAACATCGCAGAGGAGACCAACTCAAGGCTTAACAATCAATTCGGTTCCAGCATCATGACCTCCTACGCACGTCTTTCATGTTACGGCCCCTTTCAGGGAAGTTAATGCGTGGCATCATTTGTGTGATTACAATGCAGTTCTCCATCAGAGATCCAGTCCCTTTTCATGGAGGTCCCGAGAGTTTGCTCTGGAATGCTCCTTCGGATAGAAGGGGGCATCTCCCCCTACAGAACAGTCACGTGGCGAAAAACAAGTTTTCAGGGATCAACTAAACTGGCAGCGGTGCAGTTTCAAAAGTTACCTAAAACACCTTCATGAAATCGCGATAAACTTGACTTACTTCCAAGTACTGTCTCAAACTGCAAACTCGTAAGTTTGCCGGTAGGAAACACTCCCGAAAGGAGCTTGCTGTATCTGTGACAGATAACTTGAAGTTTTTGTACAGATTAGATCTTTTTGGTTTGCAAGATACAGATCCTAGGAATCTGAATCCCAGAGCGGATCGTCTAAAAATAACCAGCCCGACGTAGGAAACGTCACTGGGAGAATCAGTGTAAAGAATATAATCGGTCATACCGTTCTCTGGCTTCAGTGATTAGAGAGAAGGGAAGGATATGAGAGTCGGAACTTTGGAAAGAACGGAAAGGGTTGTGCAGGCCATTTTGCTTGCGATGCGGGACAATGTAAAAATTGTTCAGTTATCTACCAAGCGTTTCCAAGCATGTCTTACTTGTACTGAAAGATGCGTTCATTCCTTAAATATCCTACGTCTTCAATCGCAGCTTTGTTAGTCTGTGCAAGGGACGGAGGACTGCCAAGCCTTCTGGTCAGTCGTGCGGAATATCATTAGTGGGATTAGTTTGAGTCATTGTTGAGGCATAGGCCTGAAAAGTATCCCTAAAGAACCGGGTCTGAATGGAACGATGAAGCTTGCATCATTGCTAAAATGCACTCACCCATTCCCTAGCAGGGGTGTGCGTATCTCTTTGCCTACCCTTCCATAAGTAAGAAAACTTTCAGCTAAAAAATGTAGGACAAAATGAGCCGAATAAATTAAAGTTTAGTTTCCATTACCCACGGAGTCACAAATGGACAAACAAAGCAACGTATCAGCCCCCCTTTTGGTAATGTTAGTCCCATTTCCCCCACGTATGATACACCTACTCGACGGAGACATGTAAATGACATGTAAATAACCAGCCACCATCCCTAATCCTCCAACAAAAGTGCTGTTTGTTTCCAGGCAAGATCGTCAGGCGCTACACTGGTCTCTCACTTAGGTGTGGTCACTTAAATACCCAATACCGACCGGGTCTGAGATCAGTTCTCAAGAGTGTTGAGACAGAGAAGGACGATGGCGTCAACGACCAGCCTGAAAAGGTTTGCATTCGTCTTTCGTGTTCTTTGAAAAATTTATTTGTAGGATTATTTTACTGAGAGAAAAAATGTTTTGTATTTGACACCATTTCCTTGGTTATATACTAAGTCCTTGCAGCGTTAATATTAGTTTGGAGCGAATTTCATACCTAGCCCCTGACTGCCACAATTCTTGTTGACTATCGTGAAAAAAAATCAACTTCACCCTCTGTGTTAAAGCTATTCCCCTCAGTACCCCTAAACTCCCTTCTTTGTTGAATAATCCCTCTGAAATTAACAGGAGGCCCCCTATTTTGAAAACTTGGTGATGTTATGACGCTCAAAAAGTATGATGGTTTCGTATTGAATTCTGAGCATTCGAAGTAGGGGTCTATATCGGAGGTACATTTTGTGTGCTTCCATAATGCATTTAGACCCGGTCTCAATCGTGTAACATTTTGGCAAGCTGTGGTAGACATTTTGACATTTTTTGTGCTGACATGGCTAGCCATAGTTTTGCCAGACACTGGCATTAGGCAAAAAATCCAGCTTGATAAAGAGTGGGTGGAATGGGTTGCGACGGGGTGTGTGTCGGGCGGGGGGGAGGTGCCAAGCCTCATACTTAAAGTCGGGTTGGCGTGTAGGGCTATCCGATCCGACCATTCGGTTCATTGGTGACTTAATTATCTGATAATAGCTCAGTTGTAGGCACACCAACTGATAAAATTGATCAAAGTTACTCATACAAAATGTATTACTCGCCCTATTATTTTTCAAGAGGACTTTACTGTATCAACTTGTACACAGATATTGCCTGCTTGAAGTGGTGTAGTAAAACTAGGCTCTCTAGGTGATCCACGGAGCATTGTACATTTTCCCAAGGGAAGCCAAAGGAAGTCACCATGCCGCTATTTGTGGGCAAAATATCCAACAGACAGGTCCATTGACACTAGAATTACGTAACAGCTTTGTTAGCATAATGCTTAAAATAATGATTCCTGGGTATGTTTCCCCCTCGTGGCCAAAGGTGTTGAATTACTTTTTCGTAATACACTGTAGTCTGTAATCTCGTTTAAAAAACTAAGAGTCAACTTTTTTATGGATCGTTTGGTAATTAGTGACTTTCTGGGGATTGGACGCGTAGGTGTAGGCCCAAACATGTTTACGGAGTTATGGCATAGAGGAAGGTATCGCAAGCGTGCATTTAATTGTTGTAAACAGTGTTTAAAATGTTTTGGAATATATGTAGTAAATTTACAACGACTACTTAATTTCCTGCCAAAAGTTAATCTTTTACTTGAATGAAAATGAGCTCACTTCAACGTGTTCACAATGCAGGTAAGCCTCGCTAATTATCGGGCCACGTGTAATTATCAACCAATTTGGAGGCATAGTACGCGTATAAGACAGCTTTTTTGTGGTGGCCTGTTAGCTGCGGTGACCAGTCGGAAAAAGAATACTGATAAGCGTACGTAGGTTCACTTTACTGACCAACAGGTCTATATTAACTGCCAACAACATTCCGTCGCTTTAATGTACAATGTAAAGATAATTTTTTCACAATTTCTGATTATTTTTCACAATTGAAGGACCCTCTTTATTGCTGGCTTATTCATCCTAATGATGGTGAGTGGCGTGATGTCCGGAGGCAACAAAACTGCAGGTAGGCGTGTGTTCCATGCAGGCTTCGTCGAGAAACGCGCACAGATCATTGCAATATTTAACCGTAGCTGATTTCCGCCATCATTTGTAAAAGTCATGTATTTTACACACAACCTGGCTCGCTGACCTGGTAAGCTCCTATCGTCTATAGATCTATAGGTCGCCCTGTTTGCGACAATGGACACTAATGTGACGTAATGTGCCTCGGTGATGCGCAGGTAATTTAAGATGTAGTGCGCACTGCGTCCTTAAATTTTGTTTTTAAAAAATGAAACTAGTGTTAGCCAAAACACAAAAGTGCCGTTTCAAGGAAATCGTTGAAATATTTTTTATTACATGTACATGGTCCCTTTAAAAAGTCAACTCATTTAATGTTAACCAAAAGTGGTGATCACGAGTTGAAGTTGGGAAGCTTGGAAAGAGCGATAAACATGTCAGATGTTCAGGCAGTATCTGAATATTCATGAGTATGGGTTCAAAATTTGACGTTTTCTTTTGGGGGGACAGGAGGAATAGTTCCAGTGACTTGGACCGCTACCAGACGTACATATTCATATAAGTTTTCATAATGAACGTCCTTGCGGTTGTAATAAAGGCCTTTAAGTGTCAATTACGCGCTTCAACGGCGTAACCTCCAAGGCAATTTTGAACATAATGTAGTGTCATACGTTTTTCATATCAGTTTGGATTCTGTTGATCATTGACAGAAATCCCAGATCCTGTTGGTGTGAAAGGAGCTGGCGATTCGGAGGCCGGTCGGCTGGTAAATGACTTGATGGCGGGCTATGGACCTGGCTTTGTCCGGCCTGTTATGGACTCAAACACTCCGACAGTTGTGGAATACAGGGTGCTCATTCACGAACTTATTGAACTGGTAAGAACTCTCCAACTGGGTGTGGTTTCATCATTCGTTTGATCTGTGAAGGGATTCGTGCTGTTGGAAATTATCCGAAAATGACAAATCGGTTGAAGTATTTGAGAGAACAAAACAACTCACGATCCCACTCATTGTGTGCTTTCGTTTCTCGAAACGATAAAAGCAATCGTTTTGGCAACACATTTTCCCCCTGTGGGTCAAACTAATGTCGTTATATCTGTCTTTCTTTCAGAGCACCCAAGCCCAAACAATCGCCATCAAAGCTAACCTTCGGGTGGTAAGCATCTTATGGAAGGAGAGACCGACTCTCCTTAATTCTTTATTATACACATCGCCTAGCTTATTGTACAAACCAAAATTTGGCACCCCCAGTCCTTAATCCTCCAACTGTGACTGAGGATTGTGGACTGATGGAACTGGGTTCGTATCAATAATCAGCATTCTTGCACGTTTCAAGCTGCCTTTTCTACAATTCACAACAGGTAAAAAGGGGAAAGAGTTCCATATACGGATGCCACTTGACAGCCTGTGCACAAACCCTATGAGACTGGCCTAAAAAATTCCAAGTTTTTTTCCCAGTAAACGACTTTGTATTTTCCCTCCTAAATTAAACTTTTCTGGAAATGCTTTTGCTTTCTGGTGGCTATTAAGTCACAGTCACTGTAGGGAAGAATAACTGGCTTCTCTTCCCCAAAGGGGTGCTCAGACATAGCTTGAGGCCCCCCTCTGTGTTCTCATGGTTTACTTTCTGAAGAAAAAACCTAGTACAACAGGCCTTTCGAATTCGAAGCCCAGTCGAAGATGTTGTTGCAGTTGAATCCATGCCCAGAATAATGTATTCTAGAAGAAGTAATATGTCTTGCCATGTTTTTGTCTGACTTGTCACTAGTCTTGGACGGACGAGTTTCTGCAGTGGGAGCCCAGCGAGTATGGAAACACTACTCGAATCCTCATCCCAATTACTTCACTTTGGCAACCGGACATCACCCTCCTGAGAAAGTAAGTCAATGCCAGGGTAAATGGTAACTTTCCTTAAACCTGGCCTCCCTGTTTTGGTGTATCAAGCGTGTAAATTACAAGAAATTATTCCAATAACGTATTACGTCTGACTTCAAATGTCTATATCTGCCTCGAGTAGAAGCACCCACTCAACGGTTGAAAAGAGCCATATTGGTCGGAGTGCTCATTTTGTTGGTAGCGATGCGACCGTAACGCTTGGTTTCAAAGTCGTTTGTGAACCAGCGAAGTGCAGTTCCGACTAAAGGAGCCTCCGTTGCTAAGGAAATTGTGTCTTCTTTACGTCTTGCTCGAGGTTCACAATGATTGCGTGGGTGGTTTTCCTTGTAAATTGTTTTTTTCTAATGTTTCATTCTTTTAACAGTATTAATGAGGGTTATGAGATCACGAAACCAACGTCTGTTCGGGTCAACTCGACTGGACACGTCTCGTGGTACACACCGGCCTTTCTCTCCAGTTCATGTGACGTAAACATCAAATACTTCCCCTTCGACGTCCAGAGGTGCGAGATGAGATTTAGCTCTTGGAGCTTCACCATCGAAGACGTCGACCTACAGGTGGCCAATGGAAGTGACGCTCGACAATTAAGGTCAGAGGAGGAATCGCGACATACAGTTTTGAGGAAATGGACGGTTATGTGCGTTTTGGAAACTGTTAAAACCTCATTCTGTTGGAATGAACAAGTTAAAAATCCATTTCACCTGGCCTGAAGTTTCAACCAGGGAGCGAAATATTTACTCAGAAGGAGTAAATCTTTACCCTGTAGAATTTATAGAGAATGAAAGTTAATGACTAAACAACGGTAAAAGTGTTAAATTCGAAGTTTGTATGCCGTAACCTGTTCACAGAATTAGCTGGATAAAATAACGTGTAAATTGTATTTTGGCAGCTATACGGAGAACGGAATATGGGACCTTGTGGAGGTTCAAACAGCCAGGGAGGTGAACTCCTATTCTGCGGGGGACTACCCAGAGGTGTCTTACACCTTTGTGCTGAGGAGACGATCCGCGTACTACTACACGAATGTCATCATACCCTTCTTGTTCCTGTCTTTGATGTGTAATCTCATTTTCCTTCTGCCTCCTGACGGCAAAGACGCCAAAGTTGCGCTAATTATAACTACTCTCCTGGCTCTGGTCGTCTTCCTCCAGATTATTGCTGGTGTCATGCCGCCCGTTGGAGAGACCCCCATTCTTGGTAAGAGAAATTATGACGATTCGCTGCAAGAGTAGATGGGAAAGTGTATAAGGTTGAGGGCGGCAGATTCTCTGACGCATTCCAATCGGTTCGCTAGGATAACCGGAATGGATGGCTAATCATGGAGCTAATCAGAAAGGAGAGCTCCAAGTCGACGCATGAAATGGATCTCAAACCTAAGGCCGTCACACTCTCTTCAACATCACTCTTTGTTATGGAGTTAATAGACAGAATGCTAGCAGTGCATGCATGTATAATGTATTGGCATTTTTGCAAACCTGAAACACTTGAACTGGAATAAGATTGTCCAAGCTATAATCTCCGTGTTCTCCTTGTCTTTTACAGCGAGCTACTTCCTGGCTCTCATCATTCTCGTCTGCATCTCCATTGTCGTCATGATCTTCATATACGCCGTTCAGCACGGAAGCAATCAGCCGCCTCGCTGGTTTCGTCGGCTGGTGCTGGGCTTCATGGCCAAGGCGGTGTGCATGTACGACAGCGCGATGGCCGGCTACGCTGAGAAGGAGGATCTCACCAAGGAAGAGCTCTACACCGTGGAGACCAACGCCAACACGGAACGCGCCAAGACTAGGCCGCCGCTGGAGCTGCCGCAGGGCCTGCTGAATGACGTCACCTTCCTGCGCAAGAAGGCAGAGGCTCAAGACCTGAGCGACTTCTTTGCCTCACAGTGGCGGTACGCCAGCCGAGTCATCGATCGCTGGATGCTGATCATCAGCCTGATGGTGTGGGCTCTGGCTACCATCATTCTGCTGGCGTTGAGTAATAGTGGCGAATAAACTTCCTATACTTGGCTTGAGACTTAGAGACGCAAACAGGCTTTTTAAGAGCTGTGAGCGTGCGCGCGTTATTCTGAGCATGCGTGAATATTTCCAAGCACGAGGACTGGTATGTCTGCTCCAACCTCATCTCAAAGTACCCTGTCAAATTGACTCACAATGACCAAGTCATTGAGTGGCCAATTTACTCACAAAAATTTATATTTGGATCTTAATGAGAGTAGATAGTCTGACACGAAATGTGGGATCTTTTGTCACTGATCAGTTCCCTACATCTTGTAATAATACAACTAACAGGTCGGAATTTACTCTGTTGGACTTTCAGCAAGTTTATGGTTCATCTTGTGTTTCTGGGAATTGGATGTAAGTTATGAACCACGAAATTTCTTTTTTAAATTTATCGGAATACGTTAAAGAAAAAACGAACTAATGTACTTAACGACATGTCTTCAATCACTTCCTATGCAGACCTGCTATAACTTACGTTTAAAGCTTCTCAGTCAAAACGAAGTTGACCTCTTATGAGTAAACTGGTAATTAACACTAAGCGCATGTGTACCTTTGATTTACATAAGCATTTATAATTTAGGGATCTATGGTGTTTTTATGTTGTCAAAATATCCTTGACAAAATGTTTTTAAAGGTTCAGCTTTTTTACCGATGAGCAATCTTTTATATTGGTTCACCTGCTGAGGTTTTACACTTGTAGAGCATTTTTTAGTGTTAATCTGCTGGGAAGAATGGAGCATTTACGCAAAAATTCTACAGTAACCCGTCTTTGTACATGTATTATACAATTCAGTGTTGCATCATTTGACGATTAGTGCGTGCAACCTTGTTTGGACATAGCGTGGCAAATTGCTCGCTCTAAATGAAGAGACTCGTAGACAAAGTCGGTGACCAGTGAATGACTTTTTGTTCATGAAAGTTAAGGGTTAATCCTCCAAGAGTGAAATGAGGTTTATTGAAATGCAATGTGGTATTTTTAATTGCCAGTATCTGATTGGGATTTCCTTTCTGTTGGAATTTCAGCGAATAAGTTGGTCAGCTGATGTCAATGGCATGAGGTAAAGTGTGATATTGGAACATTCCATTTTTAATAACATAACACTTTCAGAATGCAGTAATCGAGCAATTAGTGTTTGTAAATGGAACGAACTTGAAACCTTTTTTTCAAATATGACATTGTCAGTTTTGCTCGTACAGACCGTTGCTAAAAGCCCAGAGCATAATGACTAAAATTGCTGGTGATTGATATACGCTTACGTACATTTTAGTTGCCTTTGCAATGATTGTGGAGATTTAATGTTTAAATCGTGACTAACTTACCTTGTGGCTGTTTCCACTTTTTAATCGGTATACCGTCCATTTTTACTACATTTATAATTACATATATTGATGAACTTATTGAAATTCGTTTGTGGAGCTCTAGCACTTTTGAGGTGTTTTTCTGGGAATTCTATAGGTTATTTACGTATACTTCTGCAGTAAGCAGTATGTGCTCTTAATATGCAATGTGTTTGGTGTATAAGTTATGTCGACAATAAACTCGTGTAACTTCGTTCAGTTGAATGATTATTCTGTGACGCTGTGTTTTCGTGGCGGTTCTACGAATCTGACTTTTAAAGGCCGATTGGGTTTTAACTCGGCGAGGTGAATGCTCGAAGTCTCGGTTCTCCGGCGAAGGAACATAAATCTGAGACGGACCACGATAGTCACTAAGAGCTTCGGTTGGAGGAGGACAATGTCCAGAGGACTATATTGGAATTGGCTGTGAAACTAACTTACATGCAACGAGCAAGTTATGACGGTCTTCACATTCGCCGCACTGTTTCAGAATTAATCTGAAACATCCAAGGCAATCCATTGTACACATTTTCAAGCTAAGAAATTCATCCTAATAATGGGAGAAGGAAATCTGCGCAACTAGCGGCTCAGAAGATAATTCAAAGGGCAGTGAACGGTAAGGCGCAGTCCATTGACAGGTGAACGGCGCGGCGCTGCCTGGCTTAGCCATTGTGATTGTGCGATACCCATGCAGCAGAACCATCGAACTGGCGTAGAGGTTGCTTTGTATCTACCTGCCCAGTCCTTTTCATGTTTGGTCGAAGGCAGCTTATTAACCAGTTTTTTTTTTGGCTAAGAGTACAAGTGTTGCCAAAGAAGAGGCTTCTTGCGAATGATCGATCATGCGACAGTTCAGTTTGTTCACATAAACAAGAGACGGTTCCATTCACCGTGAGGGGTGTGAGTGTTGCACCGTTTGAGTTTCCTCGCCAAAAATAAGTTTCACAAAATGAATGCTCTTGATTTTCAAGCGATTAGTCAAATTTGCTGCGATTATAATAACTATGTTTGTGTAAATGCTAATCGACCATAGCTTTGTCGCTTCTGCCTGTTTTCGCAACATCTTCCCAGTGTTGGTATTTCCGCCTCCCTGAGTAGTAGGGAGCAGTGTGGGCGCTCTTCCCGCTCGAAATTAACCGGCCCATTGATTACCCCTTAGCCAACCTACAATCCTTGATCTTCTTGATAGCGTCTTGGAGAAGGGATTTACCCCTGTGTTTTTATTCCTCCGTGCTCCTACAAAGTCTGAGTCGGTTTCTTTAGACTGTGAGATTATAGACTATGGCGTTTTCAGCGAGCTGCAAAAGGTGGGTGAGCCGTAATCTTTTCTTTCATCCTAAATGGGTGTTTCTTTTTTAAGTGACATTCCCATCAGGCCTTTTCTATCTGAAACCGTGATCTTCTGATTGTTGATTGAGTTGAATAGTTATAATTCGTGGGCGACTTGGGGTTTTTTGTGACATTGCCATATTTGTTTGACCAGTTACTCAATGTTCCTCAGTTTTACAGAGTCGTTTAAGTCAATGAATCAGGTCACAAAACCAAGTAGTAAATAATGAAAGGTGTTTATATTGTCCAAATTTCCGAAGGACTATTTAGTCCGCGGCTACATCATCCCCGGGGTTAAGCCCTCGAACAGCGCAGGGAGTGTTGACTTAAACCAATCTAACATCACAGTCTTTGTAATACAATAACTGTGTATATAATACATGCATACGTCATTGTAACGTAGTGACTCGAATCGAGTCATTAGACAAAAAATCGGGTCGAATCAAATAATTGGCTAAGGCAATTCGTTTCACCAATAATTTGAACACAATGCGATAAATAAAAAAGACAAGGTCACGTTTGGCATTTAAAAATTTGCTGCTGGGTTTCTACACATTTTACTCTTGATAACAACACATGGCATGACCTTTATAAACCGGCAATGTAAGTTACTACAAATATTTTTTTTCACAAAGAAGTTCGCTTTTATTTTTGGGATTCGAGTCTTATTAACTTCCACTAGATTCGGGTCTTCTGATGAGAGACTTGCTCGCAGTGACGCGAGTCGAATCTTGTCATTAACCCGTCGGGATTCCGGTCGAGTTGAGTCTTGGAAAAAATTGTGACTCAAGTCACTACAACTCTGAGTCGAGGCAATTCCTTTCATTGTAGCTCAGAATATGTCGACGGAGGACAATCCTGTATGAAGGTGTCCCCTTTGTAAACAATGAAACGAGCAAAGCAGGACTGTATAACTAAACTTTCCATGTTTCACAGTTTGTTTATTATTGTTGGTATTTGGTTCCTGAAGGGCGTTCTTTTTTGGTAGCTTGTTGATCCTTGTGAAGGTCAAGAACGTGACGCCAAAAGGCAATGGAACTATAGGTAGGTGTATGTTTCATGTCCAACGTTAAGCACGCTCAAATCATCTCAGTATCAACCGTTGCTGGTACCCGGCCATTATTTTCAACGCATGATGTCTTGAATGGTAGTCTACCAGCGGACTGACACCAGGTTAATTCTCCAAGCAAGCTGGTGACAAACATGCTTTAGATATAGGCGTTCTGCTCCAGAAAAACGAACCGTCTAATCAGTAAATACGGAATGTAAGATTCAAGAAGCCTCTTCACTGAAAATGGGTCACGGCCACAGTTACCGACGTAGGTGTCACACAGGAACGGTGCACCAGCCAGGAGGTTTTATAAACTAGCAAATAAAGGGAAAGGTTATGGACCTTTCTTTTATTTATAACATCGACCGCCATTTTGTGTCGGAAGCCAAAGTTTACAGACAGTTCATCCTAGCTTGGGAACATTTGCCTCAAATTACACATTTTGAAGTATCTATTATCTAATGGTTTTACCATTTCCATGAGATTTGTTAACACGTTTTGAAATATTCTTTCGGTTTTGTACTCATGGTCAGCCACAGTTTTTGCCGACTACCGGTCGGCAAAAAGTGCGGTCAGGACGTAGTCAAAGAAAAGTTTATGGCACTGAATGTATTGGCTTGAAGACTTTGAGCAAGTCTAATGTGTCCACGTATATACACAAAAATCTTACCCTCAATTTTAGATCTCAGAGGAAGATGACGCAATTATACCTCATCAAGGGACACCTCATTTATATGGCGATATTTACTAAGTTATTGATTTAACCCCTTGTGAAAAGTGTAACTGGTAACCGCAGGTGTGAAGGGAGCTAGCGATACGGAAGCCGGTCGGCTGGTAAATGACCTAATGGCGGGCTATGGACCTGGCTTTGTCCGGCCTGTTTTGGAGACAAACAACCCAACAGTTGTGGAATACAGGCTGCTCATTCACGAACTAATAGAATTGGTAAGTTTGGCCGATAAAATGTCCTAAAGCAGGGGCTGCCAACATCAACTTCGAGTTTTGCGTAAAAGTTGGGGGTGGTTATGAGCCCCTATAATTAGTTGTTAGTTTTTCTAGCAACGTAGACGCCTTTGGTGGGAACTCTACTTTTGAACGACTATGAACTTGCACGTGTTACGGTTGCATCGCTACCAACAAAATGAAATCTCCCGCTAACACGGCTCTTTTCAAGCTTTGAGGGGGTGCTTCTGCATTGGCGTAACACGGATTTTACTAGGGGGGCACAAAGGGCACGAGCATCTTATGGGGGCACCAGCCTTCAGTGGTGTGGTTTTGGTGCAAGTTTTTGTTAGCCTTGTTTAATCTCCATTCATCCGATTTTTTAGTGGGGGGAGGCACACCTGGGGGGCACCGGGAATTTGTATGGGGGGCACGTGCCCCCCATGGCTACGCCACTGTGATTCTGCTCCAGGCGGATAGCGCGGAAACGGTAGTTTTATCACACTCATCCGACAGAAAGAAGGAAAAGGTACCTGCACACACAATACAAGCACTTACTTCTAGCTCAAGCAAAAATTTTATCAGGTTTAACTTCTTACAATGCACGGAGAGGAACTTCACACGCAGCCAAACTCAAACGCAGCCTATGCTCCAGTCTACACACAAAAGAGGAAAAGCCTTAACTTTCCACATGATAGTTCAACCCGCTCTGGAGTCTAGCCAAACCTTTCCCGCTTGAACTCAACAAAGGTCTGTTTTTTGGAAGTCATCTACCTCTTTATAGTTTGATAGTCTATTTATAAGAAACTCACTTCCGTAGGCGGACTACTTGAAACAAAGAAACTAGGTCAGCACTTTCTGTAAGAAGGCGCCGGTCAGCAATCGGTAAAACAGCAAAAATCAGCAAAACAGCCGAAACAGTTCAAACAGTTGTCATTTTAAAAACATTATTCCTGAAACTGGTGAAACGTCAGCCTGAATAGGCATATGCAACGACATCAAGGATTTATGCCCAATGGTAAAAATACTTCGACCCTTCATTTTACATAACTATTGAATGGAACTTTAGCAGAGAAAAACAAGAGAATTTAAACTTCCTTAAAACCTGGTTTATCACATTGTCAACACAACTTAACTACATGTATTTGTTATTACCCGTTCACTTGAACTCGAGTCGTTCTTTTCTTCTCTTTCAGAGTACCCGAGAACAAAAATTCAAAATCAATGCTCGTCTGAGAGTGGTAAGCATGTTGTGGAAGAAAGGAAGAGAATCGCTTTCCGAATGCAGGGGCGTGGCCAGGTCGGTCTGAAGGGGGGGTTTCCAAGCCGTGAAGGCATGTGCGTGCAAACGCGGAACCTTACTGGACACGAACTTCCCCCGTCCCCCAAAAATCAAGGGGGGGTCCGGGCAACGGGAACCCCGGTCAAGACCCTGGAATGTGATCGTTTTTACACTTTAATCAACATTATTGAGGTTGGAGAATATTTCCCATTTAACAACACGAGCCTACAGTTAAGAAGGAATTTTCTTAGTCTGGTTCCTGGACCTGACAAAAATCCCTGAAGTGAATACTGGTATGGTAATTCCAGCAGACATCATAGACCAAAACAGAACATAATGCAACGCAAGATGTATGACGTGATGCCTGGGATGACACTCGTGCGTGTCTGCTGATCTGTAAAAATTTTGCCAAAGTTGTAATCAGTGATCAAAAGCATCATTAGAAAGAAACGAGTAAAGCTGATAGAATCAGGAAAACGTGCAGAAATTACCGAAGAACATACAACATCATGTTTGAAATTATCTGAAATCTATACGGTGTGTGCTATCTACTCTATTTTTTTGATTTACTGCAGTGCAGGAAAAAACACTCTTTCGTCCACGAGATATTTTTCCTGAATTTATTTTTGTGCTTCCGTTTGTCTAACTTTGAATCAGTCTTGGAGGGATGAATTTCTTCAATGGGAGCCCAGCGAGTATGGCGATACCAAGGTTATCTTCCTCCCGGCCTCTTCAATATGGCAGCCAGACATCACCCTAATGAGGAAGTAAGAGCCTTATTTCCAATTTTAGAGTAATAAATATTTTAATCATTGAACGAGCCTGTTGCCATGGATGTTCTGCTTCCAATGTTTGACGTTTCAATGAATTCGATTGACTTGCTTTCTTTTTATAGCGATCGAGCTACAACTGAAGTTAACCTTGATCTTCATGTAGTTGTTGTTCGATGATGACGCACGTTTTGATAAATCTGTACCCAACAGTATCGATGAAGACTTTGAAGTCATGAAACCAACTTCTGTTCGAGTCAACTCAACTGGACACGTCTCGTGGTTCACACTGGCCTTTCTCTCCAGTTCGTGTGACGTAAATGTCAGATACTTCCCCTTTGACATCCAGAGGTGCGAGATGAGATTTAGCTCCTGGAGTTATTCCATCGAAGACATCGACCTGTACCTGGCCAAGTCAAAGGACGCTCAACAAACAAGGTAAGATATCGAAGAAACTTGAAATAAAGGAAACCTGACCAGGGGGCTTCCAGAGGGAATGAGAGAGATACGGTACGGAATGAGATCCAGTGGCCGAAGGTGGTGTTGTAGTCGGGTGCATCACGTGTATGATATCGAGTGTAGGACTGCTTGAATTGAAAGGACTTTTGATGGACTCATCTTGACTCATCATGGCCTACTTGAGTAGATGAAATTAACCACCCAATTCAAGGCTGGTGAAGCAGTGGTGGTCAAGTATGTATTTTGTATCAATTGTATAATAATGATTTATTTTGATCTCTTGGCAGCTATCAAGAGAATGGTATCTGGGATCTGGTGGAAGTTCAAACAGCCAGGGAGGTGAAATCCTACATCGCGGGAGACTATCCAGAGGTGTCCTATACCTTCGTGTTGAAGAGACGATCCGAGTACTATTACACCAACGTCGTTGTACCCTTTCTGTTCCTGTCCCTGATTTGTAACCTCATTTTCCTTCTGCCTCCTGCCGGCAAAGACGCCAAAGTCACGCTGGTCATAACTAATCTTCTGGCTCTCATAGTCTTCCTCCAGATTGTTGCTGGTGTCATGCCGCCCGTTGGAGAAATCCCTGTTCTAGGTAAATGAATTTTTTAAAAGTGTTTGTTGCAAACGCAGATTACAACTTGCGTAATCTAAATTCAAAGTTTTTCTTGACATTTTCCTACATCTTTTACAGCAACCTACTTTCTGACTCTCATCATTCTCGTCTGCATCTCCATCGTCATGACGATCTTCGTGTACACTGTTCAGCACGGATCTGATCAGCCGCCTCGCTGGTTCCGTCGCGTGGTGTTGGGCTTCATGGCCAGGGCAGTGTGCATGTACGACAGCGCTGTGGCTGGCTTTGATGAGAAGGGAGTCAGTGAAAACGAAGAGCTTCAGCCACTGGAAGTGAACGCCAATAAAGATGGGGCAAACCTGCTGGCTGTCCAGATTCCGCAGTCGCTTCTGGATGACGTCGCCTACCTTCGCAACAAGGTAGAATCGCAAGAGAAGGGAGACTTCTTTGTTTTGCAGTGGGAGTACGCCAGCCGGGTCATCGACCGCTGGCTGCTGATCATATCCATGACGGTGTGGGCTCTGGCTACTATCATTCTGCTGGCAGTGAGTCATGAGTAAACTTGGTATATTAGATATTAGGGATTCACAAAAACGAAGTTAGCGATTCAAGATCGCCCCATGCACTTGTTTGCATGGAATTCCTTTCAGACTGGAACTATGAAAGTGAATTCAAATTTCTTAAAATCAATACGGGCGTTTCACTAAAGTGCGCCTCCAAGAGTTTTCAAAGTGTTAGCCAATTATCATGCCCGAAATCTGTCGACCCAAATGCGCGCTTCGAAAATGACAGGAAAGTTAGTTTGATATTGAACATTGGACATTCCCATTGGTTTGTACAAGGAATGTCTGAATGGCAATTCACGGTACAACGTATATGTAAATAATATCTAAAACATGAACATTTTCTGTACAAACCTATGGGAATGTCCAATGTCCAATATCAAACTAACTTTACTGTCATGTTTGTCGTCTGGATACCTGACCCAATGATTTTGACAACTCTAAGAATTAAGGGTCTGGTATCACCCAATTTCCACGTGACCAAGACTGGAGGAATTCCTCCAGTTTTCCGGAAATAGCCGAAACATTCCGAAGTCGTCCCATCTATATTCGGCATGTTCGGATGGTACCGTTAATGTTCGCTTATTCCTGGCCGGGTGGGTAGGCCAGTTGTTGAACGTAAACTCCCGTACCCTATTGGCAGCTGTTGATCCTACAATATTTGACTTGACACTGAATCGAAGGTCACCTTGGCGGAAATCAATGGCAAAACGCAGAATATAATGCCCACACATATTTAGGGTGCACCACTGTAATAGAATCGAAAACACCCGGGCTCTCAACTTGCGACCCCTGACCCTTTCATCGTATTTATTTATATCCATGAGTGATGCCGAACCTAAGATTTTTTTATCAAGAGTCGTAATAGGGAATCTTTGGGCAGGGAACCAGATTATCATGTTTGGAAAGGGTCGACAGATTTCGCGCGTTGTGATTGGCCAACGCGTTGCAAACTCCTGGAGGCGCACTATTGTGAATCGCCCGTATTGATCGCCCATTGATCTTAACAATCCGAAACTGATATTATCGCCCTCATGCGGTGAACAGACCAGCCATTTGGTTGGTGGAAATTGATATTGGACACGGAGGAAATGTACTTTGTACAGAACATCCACAGTTTTTATAGTATGTGGTTTGCGCACCTAGATGTAGGCCTATTATACAGTGGTGAAGTGGTATTGTTGCGTGACAACAGTTTTCAACAGTTTTACATAAATTATGTTTTCTGGAAAATGGCTGAATCTATGATTTTCTAGAGTGGATGTTACGGCATTTTGATAAAGGGAACTTTACAATCAATTTATCAAACGGAAAAATATTGTGGTCACGAATGAACTACGAAAAAGAAAATCAGTTGACCTATATCCGTTTCCACGGTACTTGTTGGGAGATTTAACTTACAATTATTGGTTGATTTCAGTCACATTTTCCTGTTTGAAGATCACTCACGCTAAGACTCGACTCTACACAATTTTTTTCAGTGATTAGATGGTAAATTTGATTTTGCAAATAGGGCGTCTAATACTCAGACGACACCGGATTTGTTCATCTGTTCACTATCCAAATTTGCGAATTTTACATAATTTACTTAATGATGCAATTTGATGTGGTATTGTCTTTTCAACTTGTGAGTTTTACGCTGAGTTGTTAGCAGAGACGATTGCATTTAATAAACATTAACATCATGCAGTGAAGCGGAAAGATATGAAATCCCAGGCAGTTTCGTGGTCCTCATTACGTAATATTGTCTAATGACACAAACGAGCTGGAAAGAGACCATAAATAGGGCAATTGGGGTAGAAGGACTTCCTCTTTATGGCCAGTGAGTTATATTACAATGTAATTCCGGCCTCCATCTTATCAAACTCATGATACCAAACTACTGCTTTCACCCAAAAGTTGACTGCTTGATTCTTACCCTCATCTTTAAAACTTGTTGGCTGGTAGGGGAGAATTCTGATAAAATGCTTCCTGTCGTAATTTTGCTCCAGAGAAAAATTCCGAAAAGGAAACGTCGGCAAGACTAACCAGACAGTAACAAGTAGTTTTCAAACATTAATTTGGAGTAGGAAATTACGAAAATAAATTATATAATTATAACTCAGACAGACTCTTAAAATTATCTCACAGTGTTGGAGTCATACAGGGGTTCGGTGTACTCATGGATAAATCGTTGCTGTCAGCTGTACACGTAGCTAGTCGCAACCCCTGGAGACCCGGCTATTAAAGGCCGTATCCGACTTACATGACTCCGAAGGAAGTGGCTGCAGCCAGCACTGTAGAGTCTCGTGTAATTTTAAGCCGAAACAAGTAATTCGAACACTGTCCTAACTCGAGGGACATCAAAAGTGAAACTTGGTGGCGCTTTTTAAATTCGTCGGATGAAGCACTTTCATCAAGTCTTTATACACTCTTGCAGTTGGATATTAACAAATATATTTATAAAGATTTCTTCCTTTTAGATTCGGGGGATTTTAACCCTCGAACTTCGTAGCATTCTTTTCTTTATAAATAGACAAAATAGAGTACATTTGGGAAACTTAAGCGTATTATTTGAAGCTTTAAAACAGTTCCTATGATACAAAACTTTGTACACCAGAACCACTTTATGAGACGGCGCAAAGGTTGACAACGTACGCATGTCGAAGTACTTGAAAAACATTGCCAGCAAAGAAAATCTTCTTGATCAGAAAAATGAGACAGGTGGTAGGTTTTGCGAAGGCAACATGAGGGGAGGTCGAATACACATGGAAGATCGATCGGTGTTCCGTGACGTGGAACGTGGTGGATCGATTATATAAAAAAACCGACTGTCGGTTGAAAGGAATCGGATGCCAGCTATGCCTGACAATTTAGCGATGTAGTATGACTCCAGTGTGTCCCTGCACTACAACAACCAAATCAATATCCAAATTTGCCGCTTGCTAATGGGTGCGTCTACGCATGTTTATCTAGCGGGCGTAAAGCGGAGCCGCTTGGCTACCCTTTTCTTAGCGAAGTGGGAATGATTGTAAGTGCAGTCTGGAGGTCATGCATTATAATTCTAAAAGTTAACAGCAAGTCATAATTAAACAATTCTTTGTTTCAAAACCAATGCAGGTTAAGGCATACATGTACTAGAAAATACATAAAAAGGGAATTCTTTGACATGATTTCATTTGAAGAGAGCGACTTACACTACTCCCAAACTGGGCACGGAGGAGTCGAAAAAAGAAAGAAGAAGCAACGTTTCGCACAATCCCACGCAAGACATGGAATAAAATATTGCATTTTTGCGTCACACCAGAATGTGATTAATTAGGGGCACACAAAATACATGTGTAATGCTTTACTAATAGCTCGGAACAAAACATAAAACAGTTTATCTTCAATCAAATAACTGTGACTTGTCTTGAAATTTTCTCGTTTTTTTTCGTTTTAAACATTCCGGGTGATTCTGAAGGACCTTAGTGAGACATTAATGCAGATAAGCCACCCATAAGCATGAAGGATATAGCATTTTAATGCAGCGAAAAATTGGTCAATATGTTTTCACTTCAGCCGGTTGCTAAGGCTTCGTGAGAGACTGCTTACGAACCCGCGTTTACAGCAGGAAACGTGGGAAGTGCCCGATCTGTGTATGAATTAGAATATGAAGCACTGTTTTACAAGGAAACCATGATGCTCAGGCGCCATGACGAGAGGTAATTCCATTACTGTTAGACGAGAGATGTCTCGTTCTTGTATTATTTCGGCAGTATCATGCCCCATAAGGTCTCAGTCGCATCCATAGATTTCCATCATTATCACTTTCAAGTACATGTATTTTATAAGAACTATAACGCTGAACGGGCATTTAAAGTTGCGGCTCAGAACCGGTAGCTGACCTTATTTACACAATCAATTTGCCACAGCTAAACGCGTTCAAAACACATTTAAATTCCATTTGTTCACCCAGTTGAGGGACGGTCAAAAGGCACTGTCACTTTGTCAATTTAAAACCCAAGGGGTTCCCCTATTAATTAAACAACTCCGTCGGATGGTGTGCCACATATCCTTAATTTGTGTCCATAAAAGTAAATTACTCTGTAAAGTAGCTACGGCGTAGTGCTACATGAATATCCCGTGTTACCACAGTGCTGATTTTACACCATGCGATCAATACATATCGAACCTCATGACACTTTTATGGAACCGCAGTTTTGGCTTTCGCTGTTTGGAAAAGCTGAAAAGAAAGCTGAATTCATGTTCACATTAATTTGAACTTGCTCTCATGAAGATATTTCTGTTCAATATTTTAAAGACGGTTTCAACTGACAAATTATTTAAAAATCTAGATCCATTCATTTTATTTCTTAATGCAGAGTTTGATTTTTCTTTACATATCGCCCACTTCAATTTAAGGGAATTAATTTGGCTTTTTTAATTAAAACACATCGAAATTAGACAGACACACTTTTGCCCCGATTCAGGGTCCACATATGTAGCTGACCATATTTCATCACTGGGTAAAACCACCAATATGATGGGCTCTAGACCAGTCAGAAGGCTTAAAATGTACTTATAACTCCCAATTCTTAATCTAAAATCAAGCACTGAGCAACTTTAATGAAAACATCAGGAGCAGAGGTTCAGGAAAACAACAATGCAGCGTTGCCGGGTTAGGGTTCTTAAAATCACTCTTTGGACATTATCCGTACGTAGATGTCAGAATGTGCGCCGAACAGCTGTCGATTTCAAGAGATCTTGAAGAGGGGTTGCCAGGTTGCCAAGGAACTGGCAGGATCTTCTAGTGTCATTTATCTGCCTCGTTGTTGGCAATGTTGCAGCGCTAGCTCAGTAGGATGTAATTTGACGATCACTAAATGTAAATCAAACAGACAACAGACGAGTGGTTCGGCTCTGGGGCGGCACGACTCTAAAAACCCAGCCGCCCTATCGCCCATGGTTAGAAAAGTATGTTAGAAACAGCCTCTGACGGCAACCGCGGTATGGCTAGCTCCAAGGGACAGGCGCCAAAAGGACATTAATCAACTCGCCACGGGTCTATCGATACCCTTTTTATCGACAGGTTTCTCGAGGTGCAGTCTTGTACCAGGCGTTAGACGCTAAACGCTGATACCCGGGTACTTAAAAGCTTTGCGGCACTTTTTTCGAGTT